CAGTGCTTTTTTTCTGGGGGGATGCAGGGGTACGCATACCCCTAACCATTTTGTGAATCTAACAGGGGAAGAAACTAAAAAAAATAATTTTTTAAGTTTCTTCTCTAGCACGGTGAATTGTCAGTTCTGTTGCTACTCCCGATGGCGGCCTCATTTCCTGTCACAGTGTTTCCTGAGTCTCAGACGGAAGCAAGCGTTTAATGTGTGAAGTAGGAGTTGGAATCTAGCACGGTTACCACCTCCGATGGTAGCTTCATTTATTTTCCTGGTGATTTCCTTGAGTCAAAATGAGAGTACCCCTAAACATTTTTTTAGGGAAAAAAGCACTGCTTTCATATGTGCTGTAAATCGCCCAGACTGGGCGGGGTATAACAACAACAACAACAACAACAACTTCTATAGGGAAAGCCTTATGTGTAGATATCCCTTTGGTCCCAATTCTTTTAGTGTTGACTCTGGAATAAGTGTAGTCATTTTGCGTTTGGGACAATTTCACTTCTTTTCCAGGTTGTCAAGACTTTGGCTGTTAATTTTAAAATTAATCATATTTGGCTGCATCCTGCCCTGATTAGTTTGCCATTTTATTCTGAAATATATAGTACACACAGTTACATTATGCTTGTTAGGCAACTGTTTTATAATTCTTCATTCCAGCCATGGTCCCTCCTGCTCCACCTTAGTACTATTAAAGTATTCCACCCTTTTCTTTCTAACACTGAATATGAGCATTTCTACTTACTGACCCATCCTTAATGGCACACCCCTCCTTTTCTTTTTTGCTCTCTCCTAATACTGAGTAGATATGGACAATTTCTAAGCCATTTGGAAATGAGGCTAATGCTGAGAAATATTTGTATCTTCTAATTGGATTGTGCTTGGTACTGTCAAGTAGCACACACAGCTTTGACATTATTAATATTTCAGACGATAATACCGTAAAAGGAGTCACTTGGAGATTTGTCATCCATTTAAGTAATGCAACAGAATAATGAGGTTTTGAGACAGAGCCATTAGCTGTTCTTGCATGGCTGTCTGGTTAAGATGCTGCTATTTGAAAGTCTATCAGCGCCAATCCTGGATATTTTGCCGCTTAATCAACTTCCTCTCCCACCCCCCAACCTCAATATGATGCTCCCTTCTTTCCTCTTTGCAGTAGTGTGTACCTGATCTGCCATTCTCATGAGATACCACAACCAAGGTGGTGTGGTTGTGCTACAGAGGGCTCTGGACTGGGAACTTTGTGGACAGTCAGGGGGCACAGAGTGAGAGAGTTCAATCAGGATATATGGAGGGGGGAATTGTTAAAGCTCTCTCCTCTACATGTTGCGGTCCTGATCCAGCTTCTCCCCACCCCAACAAACAAACAAGAAACAAAAAACCTCAACAGTGTATGAGCAAACTGTGTAACAATCATCATATCTAGTTTGGCAGCAATATCACTTTGTGCAGGAAATCCAGACAGCAGCTACTTCTAACTTCCCTGGGTGGCTTGTACAAAGGGAAAATTTGCTGCTCCCCTAAACTTGCCTCCCAGTCTGTTCATTGCACCATTCAGACCTACCTTTCTCCAGAAGATGTTCCTAACAGTACTATTTTGCCTAAGTCCACAGAGTCTTGTGTTTTTTTACCCAACATTTGCTATTTTAAGTGTGAAATGGAAAATAGCCCTTTGTATTGTGAAATACAAAAACTGTTTAAAGATTAAAAAAAACAAAAACATGCCTGAATCTCTACTATGCAGTGGGTGGTGAAAATCAGGGCTCATTTAGTGATCATTTGTTTCCATTCCATTCCATTCCATTATTTTCCTTACCCACAGACCATTGTTGGTTTTGGAGTCCGTTATACAGACAGTGGTGTGTATGAGAGGAAGAATTTATTGTTTTGAGAGTTTTCTCCTGCGAATCTTACTAATCACTGATAGACTTTTCTTAAACAAAACTCATTGTGGCTGCTGACATCAGCTCCACAGATGGCATTCAGTCATGAGGATAAGTCAGAGATGGTAGTAGCAGGAGTAGGAGAGGGAACCAGACATGCTGACAATTATCTCTGAGAATGGCTGTTGTGTTATGTTGCACAGTCATTGAGTCTGGTCAATGAAAGTCTAGTCAGTAGATCTTGAGATGCAATTAAAAAAAAAAAAACAACTGATAGCAGTCAGAGCCCTGTTAGTGGTTTGCTGCTTTCTTGCTGAAGTTATAGATCTGGTCAGTTCTTTGGACAGCAGACTGTATAAGTATATGATATAACAGAGGGTGGTCCAAAAGTAGCAATACATGCAATCTATCAATGGATTATTTTTCTTTACTGAGATTGCGAATGATGAGAACTTGAGTCAAGAACAAAGAAACTGGATTCTAAAGCAGAATACCTACTTTTGGGCCACCCTGTATATGGTAAATAAATATTTTCATGCAAACATTCATAAGGGACAATTCACATAACTGTGCATAGAAAGAAAAACACCGCAAACTGAGCTGTGCACACAGGAGACTCCCATGGTTTTTACAGTGGTGTTAAACAGGATGGTTGTGCCTGTATAAATGGATTCTACCTTTGGGCACGCACAGATTCATTTACACTACCCTTTCTTCACCCACTTACATACAGAATAGAGGAATCTGTTAGTATGGGCAACCATCTGAAGTGAGCTAGGAACTAAGAGTTGTGGGACATGCCAGAAGCTAGAAGTAAAGAGAAATAAAGAGTTAGCAAGAACTAAAAGACCAACTACGGTGCAGAAGCAAAGGACAAACTGGGAGACAGAGCTAAGGATACAATAACAGAAAGACTTCATTCCTCAAGCAGGAATCCCGTTTTCCCTCCTGTCCAGAAGGATCCAATGGCTAGCCTGAGTGGGGAGACTCAGTACAGGACCAGAGGGTACCTCACTGAAAAGTTGCCATTTGGCAGGTCACTTGCTCACCACACAGGGCAGCTCTCTCTGTGATTCTAGCAGCTTTCTCCTGATAGACTGAAATCCCATTTATTTGTTTTTCCACAACAGATCCATAATCCTTAATTCCCTATCAATAAATTGCAATACAGGACCTTTCTGGTGTAGTCAGTGACTGCATGGTAAAGATGCTATTTTGACAGTGGCTATGGTGTTCTCATGATCACTTAATAAAAATAATATGAACCCTATTCTGCTCTACCTACTAACTCTTATGATTATGATTAAATGTATGCAACAGATTCAGAGACCACTGAAAGATGATGACTAATCTCTTGGTATGCAGTTGCTGTCTGAATAACAGTAAGAGTAAATGTGACATTGAATTGTTTTAAAGAAGTCCTTAAATAGGAGCAAAACTATATCATTAATACCGTATTTACTCGAATCTAATGCTCACTTTTTTTGGCCAAAATTAAGGTGCGTATTAGATTCAATGGCGCATTTACTTTCACCAGCAAATAATTTTTTTGTTTTGTTTCAAAGTTATGAAAATTGAGGTGTGCATTAGATTCGATGGCGCATTAGACTCGAGTGACTATGGTAACTGAATAAGTGTAATAATATGTACAGTATTATGCATTATAATGTAATCACACAAACACACACACCCTCCACAAGTAGTGGCTTTGACAGTTGTAGAAACCTATCGGTGTTGAAGACTGTACATTCTTTGGGTTCTTGTAACACTGATTAGAATGTGAGTTCAAGATCAGCATTATATCTGCATGCCACAACAGCAGCAAGAATACTTATTGCGAAGTATTGGAAGACACAAGATCTACCCACTCTGGAAGAATGGCAGATGAAGGTGATGGACTACATGGAACTGGCGGAAATGACTGGCAGAATCCGAGACCAGGGAGAAGAGTCGGTGGAAGAAGATTGGAAGAAATTTAAAGACTATTTACAGAAATATTGCAAAATTAATGAATGTTAGAATGATGTCAGAATGAAGTTAAGTGGTTTTAGCAGCAATGTCATAAAGGTGTATGTAAAAATGGATTGTTAATAGGTGAGAATCTAAAGCTATAATACATTAAGTTAAAGGACTAAGACAAAAACAAAGAGGGAAAGGAATTGCTGAATTAACCAATTGAACTGGAATACAAAAAAGGGAGGTGAGAGGAGGTCAGGGAAGCAAGGAAATGAAATGTAAGATATGGAAGGATTGATTTGTTTTTAAGTGTTTCTTTATTTTCCCCCCCTGTATTTTGTGTTTTGTATGTTTTTTCTTTTTTTTCTTTTTTCCCTTGTTTCTTTTCTCTTTAACTATGTAATTTTTTGTTTCTGAAATTTTAATAAATATCATTTAAAAAAAAACAACAAGATCAGCATTATATCTTTCACAAGGAAGAATTACTACAACTCAAAATGGAGTCATCATGAAAATAACGATGGTAAGCAGTCCAGAGTTATCTTTGATTTTAACGTGCATTTGGGAACAATAAAATCTCTTTTGGTGAATACTGCATGCGAGATGTGCAGATTCATCTTTTCACTCCTTTTACCTTGTCACACATTTAAGGAATGCTTTGCTGTGGAGCAGGATTTGCAGTTTCCTAGCTTGCCAACATTTTTGTATGTCTGCAACTTACTGTCTCAGATGAATCCTTATTTTTTACTTCAGAGCAGCAGCTTGTTGGGAATTCATGAAACTTGTAGTTGTCACACTTTGGTTTACAGTAATCAAGCCTGCACATTTTCCAGAAGCATAGCCATGTTAGTCCGCTTTAGCAAAAACAACGAAGGGCACGGTGGAACCTTAAAGACTTGCACGATGTGGGAGCAAAAAAAAAAAAAAAAGTACTTAGCAACACAGAGCTTTGAAGCCTGTTGTTATGATGCACTTTAACATTTATGCTAAACCATACCACAAAAAGCAAACTTGGTCATCAATCAGTCAAAACAAACAATTTGATCATTACAATAGTCTGATGGAATTAACTTAATAGTCTCATAAACAAACTGTATCACACAACTCTACCTGTGAATATTTATTATTTAATCAATATTGAGTTTGCAAGTAAAAAAATAAATGGCAAGTAAATATGATTATGTGTGTTGCTATTTTCTGCTTTATGTGAATTGCCTTTATTCATTCATTCTTTCTTATTTATTTATTTATTTAATCAGTTGCTTTATCTTGCCTAGGGCAACCCAAAACAACTTACAACCAAACAAACATACAATAAATCTCACATAGATACATTAAAACCAAGGGGAAAGATAAAAGCATTAAACACATCCCAATCACTTTTAAAAGCCACAGATAGTTAAAAGCCAAAGGCCTAATATCTAAAGATATATAATGATGGTGCCAGGCACGCCTCCCTGGGAACAGCATTCCACAAATGGGAAGTCACCACACAAAAGGACTGTTCTTGTGTTGCCACCCTGCACACCTCTTGTGGAGAAGGCACACAAAGAAGGGCCTCAGATAAGGAGCACAGGGTCTGGGTCTGTTCACATTGTGAGAGGTGGTCCTTGAGGTATTTAGAACTACTGTCTTTTTATGGAAAAGAGTTTTCCTTACCTTAAGTTACTATAGGCAGGCAGAAATCAGTACATAAAGTCCTTCCTGGCATGGATATATGGATGGAAAAAGATACATCTGTTGATTTCTGCCTCTCATGCAATTCTTAACAGTAGCAACTCTACAAATTATAAGTGAGCCTCTGGTAAGCTATAGTTTTCACTAAGCAAATGTGTTATTATCTATGTGCCTAATGTTGACCTCAGCGAGATTCTGAATGCATGCTGTACCATCATGTCTTTACTTCAACGTCTTTATTTAGGGAGAGATATGATTTAATTTAGCTATAAGTCTTGTGATTATAGATGCGTATGAAAATATAAAATCATGGCTTCTGTTAGAAAATAAACTTCAGTTTGGAAGAAAAAAGAGGCCTCAGTCCCGAGCAGTCTTACATGCCTTAAACTTTCATGGATAAAAGTGAAACTCTGCATAACATTCCTTCATTATGCTCTCTTGAGCTAGATAGGGTTGCCATATTTTGAAGAGCAAAAAAGACGACACATTTGCCGACTTATACTTTTAACTATGGATCTCTATGACTCTCATCATGAAAAAGAGAATGTGTCCTGGAAAAAGAGGACATATGGCAACCCTAGCTAGAAACTATTATCAGTTCCAGTTCCTGGCCTCGGAGAGTAATGATGATGAGGCAAAACAAGAATTGGCCTTTTCTGCAGTGGCTCCCCAGTTGTGGAATGCTCTCTCTTACATTGCCTTTAGGCACCAGGCAAAAATGTTCAGCTTCAACCAGGCCTTGGGCTGATTGTCATCCAATGCCCTTTTGAATGTGTTGTGGAAGAGGTGATTATTGGGTTGTTTCTGTTTTTGTTTTTATTATGTATTTTGTGTTTTTTTTATATTGTAGTTTTGTGTTGGGAACTTCTCGGAGATCTACAGCTAAAGGGTGGTATCCAAATGTAATAAATAATAATAATGTAGAACATGGGCAGGGAACATTTTCCTTATGTTACTAAATAATTGCACTCAGCTTCCATACATCTGGGATTTAGGAGAAGAGGTATCCATGTTTTATTTTAGAAATGAAATACTCCCAAACTTGCTACCTTTCGATTGCAATCTTCCTGTAACTTTAATATCTACATGGCGTACAGAAATTCATTTGGTGTAGTGGCCCCCATCCCTGCACCTCCATGCTAGGAAAAATGGCATCTGCTGAACTTATGCCCACAATGTGGTTGTTGGAAGGCATGGGGATTCCACCTGAAGTACAGTGGTGCCTCGCAAGACGAAATTAATCCGTTCCGCAAGAGTCTTCGTCTAGCGGTTTTTTCGTCTTGCGAAGCAAGCCCATTGACGGATTAGCGCTATTAGCGCTATCAGCTGTTTAGCGGCTATTAAAGGCTTAAAGGCTTAGGGGATTAGCTGCTAAAAGGCTATTAAAGGCTATTAAAGGCTTAGCAGATTAGATAAAGGGGGGGGAAAAGCGAAAAAAAAATCTCAAGACTCGCAAGACATTTTCGTCTTGCGAAGCAAGCCCATAGGGGAATTCGTCCTGCGAAGCAACTTCAAAACGGAAAACTCTTTCGTCTAGCGGTTTTTCCGTCTTGCGAGGCATTCGTCTTGCGGGGCACCACTGTACTACCTAACTTGCCTGCACATTCAGTCACAATAGGGTAGGATGTCACTGGTTGTGAGCTATGGCAGCATAGAGGAATCTCCGACCCATGGGCCTGATTTGGCCCACATGGCCGCTACAAATGCCTTGGAAGGTCGTTTTTTAGCAAGCCCCACTTGCTAAAGTCCTATTTGACACCAACTGCCATTTTCAGCAGCATTCCGCATGTTAAGACTTATATTTGTTATGTATGTTCCTTACATTTATGCTTGTTGTGCACAGTAGACATAACCCGAGGAAAGAGGTTCAGGCAAACATTTGATAAACCACCAAATGCCTCCTTCCGTTCTGTGAGTCCAATTCCTATTAAAAACACAGGAGGTCCAGATAAGGAACCTCTCACCAATGGCCAGAGTTGATGGAAATTCAGTAGTTCAGCAACATCTCAAGGACCACAGATACCCCACACCTGATGTAGGGGGGCATAAGGAACCTCTCACCCTAGGAGCCAACTCCTGGGGGCAGAGTTCCCTTCGTGTGCCCCCTAAAATATTTGAGAGGGCCAGCCCGCAAAGTTGATGGGCATTGCCATTCAAATAGGGTGTGTGCACCACATCATGTGACCTATTTCTCTTCCCCCCCCCCAATATTTTATTCAAATTGGCACTTCTGCCTCTCCCAACCCCAAGTTGTGTGTGACAAGCAGAAGTTCAGCCGGTGAAGTTTCTTTCCTGGCATGTTTGCCCCTCCCCTCCCCCAACAAACTACTGCGAAAAAGAGACACAGATTTAAAAAAGTAGGCCGTCCTGTCAGGGACGTCGCGAGGATGGAGGCGAGCCGCTGCTGCCTAAGGGCTTCGGCGCCGGGCGCTTCAGGTGCCCACCGTTGCCGTTACACAAGCGTAGCCTAAGAAGAGCGGGCGCCGTTCTCCCCTCACGGCAGCGGCGGCCGGTGCTCGTCGTGTGAGGAAAAGTCCTCGTGGCCGGCCGGGCAGCCCTGCCGCCGCCGCCGCCGCCTCCCTCTCTCCCTCCCTCCCATCAGGCGCTCATTCTCCCTCTCTCCCCGTCAGCCAGTCACTCCGCGCTTGAGCTGAGGCGCGGCGGCTGCGGCAGAGGAGCCGGCTGAGGCGCGCTCTCCCCCTTTCCCGCCTCCTTCTCCTTCCTCGCAGGCAGGCGAAAGGGGCTCGACTTGCCACCCGGCGGCGGCGGTGGCTTGGGCTCCCGAGCGTTGTTTGGCGCTGCCCGCCCGTCTGCCTTGCCTGCGGCGGCCATGACCTCGAGCGGCAGGCGGAGAGGCCGGGAGCGGGGGGAGCCTCACCAGCAGGAGGAGGATGAGGAGCTGCCCGTGTACCTGGCGCGCCCGGGCACCGCCGACCAAGTGCCCCGCCAGAAGTATGGCGGGATGTTCTGCAGCGTGGAGGGCGCCTTCGAGAGCAAGACGTTGGACTTCGCGGCGCTCAGCGTCGGGCAGAGAGGGGCCCGGAGAGCCCCGTCGCGGCAGCAGGAGCCCCAGCAGCCCCCGCCGGAGCCCGACGCGCCCCCGGACGAAGCCCCGGCCCGCAGCGTCGAAATCCGGGCCCGCTCCGGCAAGGAGCGCCTGCAAAACCTCGACTACGAGGATTACAAGGTAAAGGGGGTGGGATAGGGAGCCCCTCAAGGGTCAGAGAGGAGGCAGGGGGACCGCGGAAAGGGGCGGGGGGTGTCGGGGGTGGCATCTCTGAGATGGGAAACAAAAGATGAGGCGATGAGGGCGAGGGGGACCTGCAGACTGATCTGGAGGGGTGTGTAATGTGTGTGTTCGTGTCGACGGCTCATTGTGGTGCCTGTTTACTCGCGAGTAAAGCGCCCCCGAATCGCAGCCTTCGGCAGCTGGACTGACACGAGACAAAACTACTTACTTCTGGGCTTGTGCGTGATCTGCCTTCTTGAGAAACGTCCCAAGCATCTTTCGAACATCTCGCCCTCGTCAAGCTGCGAAGCGGTTAAAATTCAACAGAAGTTAAAACAAAACGGCACGAATCCTACTTGGCCGTACATTTTTACGGCCTGTTCCGAAGTTGATGATGGCTGTTAAGACGGTTACTAAGAGAGAGAGGCCCCTAGCGCCCCCCCCTTCCTCCTGAAAAATAAACTTAGCAACTAAATAATGTGTGGATGAGGCATCTTTTCAACACTTCTGCCTTGTGTTTCCTGATGTTCCCGATAAGCCCCTTGCAGCTAGGAGTAATTCTGATATTAGGGTTTAGGGATGTAAAAAACAACTACATACTCTTAGTGATGCCTGGATCTTAATTGTAGAGGTAACGTGACCACATTCTAATTATTATTCACCATCCCTGTGAATGAATCAGTTGCTTATTCTGCTCTGTATATATGCTGAATCTTCTTTATTGCTCACAGAGGTTGTGGTTAACCAAGAGGAGGCTCTACAACTTTTTTCTGTTTCTTTTCAAGAGAAAAAGGGAGAGACAGCTTTTCTTTGCCATCAGCCTGTATTGCACAAGCCGAGTGTCAGCATTTTTAAAGTTATTAACTTAAAAGCTCTATGCCCTATGTTCCAAGAATGGTCAAGTAAGCCAATCAGGAGAGAATGTAGTCAACTTATGCCAGGATTGGTTACTTTAAAGTCAGTCCTCCCCATTTTCTTCATAAAAAGGATGAACTTGGAACTTAATTTAAATGGCTTGACTTTCAAAAGTTTGACCTTATAAGGAGCAGCTGAATAAAACAGGAACACCTTAAATATTGCATCATAGAAGTAAGAGCTCTTTTGTTAGAGGTTACATGCACCCTTTTAGGTTTTAAAAGTGGCCTAAGCATTTTTTTTTAGGGACACGGGTGGCGCTGTGGGTTAAACCACAGAGCCTAGGACTTGCCCATCAGAAGGTCGGCGGTTCGAATCCCCGCAACAGGGTGAGCTCCCGTTGCTCGGTCCCTGCTCCTGCCAACCTAGCAGTTCAAAAGCACGTCAAAGTGCAAGTAGATAAATAGGTACCGTTCCGGCAGGAAGGTAAACGGCGTTTCCGTGCGCTGCTCTGGTTCACCAGAAGCGGCTTAGTCATGCTGGCCACATGACCTGGAAGCTGTACGCTGGCTCCCTCGGCCAATAAAGCGAGATGAGTGCCGCAACCTCAGAGTCGGCAACAAAAGTTGGTCCTGAAATCAGGGGTGCGTTTTTCTGATTTTGGTCAGTATGTTTCTTGAGCTCATGTTTTGTTTGTAGCCTTGGCTAGAATACAGGTGTCTGGTGAGTGATACCTACTCCTTTAAGGCTATGTACATACTAGTGGCTTAAAATGCAGCAAGGTTGTAGTCCCCATCCTCCCTGCTGTGTTTTAAGTCACATTTGCCAAGTTGCTGTGCACACCAGAGAGGGGGCAAGGATGTCTTCACCCAATGCACATTACCTGTTTGTTTTCCTCAAGCCTACAACCCACTCACCCTGAGCTTCTGCTCATGGAGCTGTCATCTGTGCATGTAAATGTACATACTTCAGCTTAATTGTGAAATGATTGTGGATTACGTTTTCAAATCAGGTGAAAGCTGATTTGAGGGAAAATGCATCAAATAGCAGTGTTTCTCAAGAAACTACATATGGATTGTGGCTGATGTCATGTGGACACGGCTTCAAACGCCAATAGTGGCAGTGCACTGGAGCCAGAGTTAAGTGCTAAGTGTACATAGCTGGTGTTACTGATAGATGCTTCATACATGATAATTTCCATACGGAATTAACAAGTGTGGCAATGAAACAGAACCACTGTTATGTATGTGGTAGAGCTTAAGTTTTGCTGCAATAACATGAATCAAGAATATAATGCCAATATTATTTACACAATGTATGTATTTGTCACAAATAAGGTTTTTCTGATAAGTCTTATAATTGATGGTTTACATTGTTAGTTACTCCATGCAGGAGAAAGCCACCATGCATTAACTAGTTCTGAGTTCCAAAGGGGATGGAACTGTGCCAGATACGGGCATAAGTATTGGTTGGAAGTTCTCCTGTCCATTTCTAGGTCAGTGTGGGCTGCTTCAGTGAAGTCAGCTGGAGCTGAAATCATCCATAGAATGAATTCCTATTTCATATGATTCAGTAAGGTTGCTGCTTTGCTAAGGGGCTGCCTTAACAGAATAAGGCTAATTTCAGACTGAACTTCAGTTCATCTAGCTGTAGATGAGCGCCGGATCCTTGAGACTGGGACAACAGATCCTTTGTCACATGTAAGAGCTGGCACCCCTTTAAGCGTGTAAGCCAAATAAAACTGATTGGAAGATTACGTTCTTAAGCAATGAATAGGTTATAAACGAACTGTTGATAAGTGCTTATAATGGTATGATAACTTCTTTTTCTCTGGTTCTGCCTAGATTTGTATTGATCTAGGGTTGTTAGTTCAGGTATTCCTGATCTGAAACTTTGGAAGAGAGCTGTGCTGGAATTTTAGCTGTGGTAGGTTTTTCTTCAAAAAGGTGCAAAGAACGTTGATTTATTAGTACTGTGCTGCCTTTCAAACAGCTTTTGCTAAATATTTGCCAAAAGAGTCTGCCATGACACAGACTTTCAGCTACCAACTTTCTATCCAATTCCTATCTTACTATTTAGTCTTGTTTATCCCACCCTTCTTCCAAGGAGATCCTGGGAGAGTACATGGATTTCTCCCCCTCAGTATTTTTTCTTGCAACAACCCTGTGAGGTCAGTTAGACTGAAATATAGTGACTGTCACCCATTGGGGATTTGAACCCAGGTCTCCCAGATCCTGCACTTAAGCCACTGCAACACACTGTTTCTCTTAGGATTGAGACAGCATTATCACACTTTTTTTTTCTTTACTAAACAAAGGTGCTGTGGAGTTCCATATACTCCAGACTTCCTTTTTTCATTGAATCAATCTCAATTTTAAATCTAAACAGATACCGCATATTGATGCTATAGCAACTTTCTGTCAGTTGGAAAACATCTAACTCTATTCCATTTGTCTCCAAGATCCTGAACATCAATTTTACAACATTTCTATAAACAAGTAATATGGGTTTAATCTTCAAACATCCATTTCCTCTAGGAGATGCTGAGGCTTTCAAAGCTGATGGTCCAAAAATAGACTAAAATGTGCTGTAGTTGAAGGTATTGCCATTCAGCACTAGTGAGTCAAGTGGTATGTAACCTGCAAAACTGAAAATGGCAAAAAAATCCATCTAATCCTATTAAGTGGTCTAACATGTGAATAAATATCACTTCAATCCACATCTACTATTTTATTATTTATTTTCTTGTCTTTTGTTGTTATATTTTTAAATCACACTTGCCACACATGCACTTGCCATACATACAACACCCACAAACAGTAAACATACTTGCCAGGCATACATCTGTCTTGTTAAGAATTCAGTACATACCATTCCCCACTATTTCTGGTTATTTCCCACTGCCTCCAATGATTTTTATATAAGTTATGCTGCCATCAGTAATGTTTTGAAATTGTATTTATCATTTCTTCAGTTCTCTTTGACATGCAGGGTGCTCACTTTTTTAAAAAGTTGCTGCTCGCCTTCTTAAAGTTCCTCTGTTTTTCTCTGCTCTCTATTGCTGGCTGGCTGCAGAAGTGCTATTAATGTAACAACTTGTAAGGGACAAAGTTCTTAAATAAATAAGCACAAGAAATCCTCAAAACACCCAAGGAACACCTGAGCTATGGAGGGAGAAGATTGGTTGGTAAAAGGTTAAAAGGTGGGAGAGAGCTGCTGTTGCCATCATTAACATAACCCTGTACTGTATATGGGGTTGCCTGTCAAGGAAACTCAGAAGCTTCAACTGAAAGCCTCATTCCCATGTTGGTGGCACATCATCCTAGAATGTATGGCATTTGAATAGCTATGTAGATACATCAATTTATTTTTTGCTATGTTCTACGTCCACTGTTGGAGGCAAAATGCCTTTGAGTACCAGTTGCTGAGTATCACAACTGGGGAGAGCACCTTTGTACTCAGGTCTTGATTGTGGACTTCCCCTACATCTCTAACTAGCCACTGTAAGAAAGGATGCTAGACTAGATGGGCCTTTGGCTTAATCCAGCAGGGCTTTTCTTACATTCTTTGAGAATTCTTATGTCCAGTACTGATATAAATTAGATCTGCTCTAGAATGTCTGAGTAGACATATATAGGATTGCACAATAAGCAGAGCTAAAATATATGGCAAAACACTGTTTTGTGAGCTTTGGGAAGCATAAGGCAGAATGATTATTCTGTTAATTACATCTACTTCATCTACCTTAATCAGAAAAAAACACATTCTATTATGTTTTCCTTTATCCGAGAATTGGACAAGTCTTTGTCTCTTCAGCATGTGGTCAAGACATTTTCTCTTTTCCTAGGTAATTCTGTGAAGGGCTTTTCCTTGACAGCTGGCTGTAATACAGAATTGTACTACGCAACTCAGGCTTTACTGCAATTGCAAATTACAACTCGTTGCAGGATTAGGCACAGAGATGATCTGGTTTATGTGGGAAAATGCTCCTACTCTTCAGTGGAAATCAATGGTCACTAAGTAAATCTTCCATCAAAATAGGAGTTTACTGAATAATCATTCATTTGCTGGTATCTATTGCAGCATTGTGTCATGGTTTCCATTGTCTATATAAAAATCAGAATGTGTGAAATTAGTACATCTATTATTAATGTCTGACCTAAAAGAGGCCAGTTAAATTAAAAATATAAAGTGTTCCTACTATAAGTAACTTGTGGTAGTATATAGAAAGATGAACTGAAATTGCTATAATTTGCATGAATACAGATGCAGCTATATTATCAAGCAGTTTCAAGGCCCATTTAAAATGCTTTAGGTTTCTCATGGGGGGGGGAGATGTGTCTGGCTAACTTTTGCTAATTAGGAACTTATACTACTTCAGAGTAGTACTTGTGTGGAAGCACAAGTGTGCCCTTGAAGAGAAGAAGAAAAGACTAGCTCTTAAATTGATTATTCTGAAGGGAAAGTTTCATTCCATATTCTAAACTGATTGTAAAACGATTTGATCACAGTTTACTTGTACTAAATATTTATGTGTGATATTGTGTAGTGTGTACTTTGACCTACCAATGCAGAGGAGACTGATTGGTGTTTGGATGGAAATCCTCCATCCAATAAATGAAGAAACATCTCAGTAAGTGCTACATTACAGTGGTGACTACTATTAAATGCCTAGCTAAGTGGCTGTCCAGTTTGATGGGCCCGGATGAATGGAGAAACAAGCCAAGTCCTTCTTGCTCCTAATTTCATTTCTTGAAGCTAGTTGTCCAGGCCCAGGCCATACCTCTGTGGCTGTCTTTAGCTGCAGCAGCATCTGTGGCTAGCAGGCAGGCCTTCCAGCCACTCCTTGTTTCTCCCAGCAGTTACTCGCTCAGAGTATTACTATTCTGGGACTAGTGCAGGTGGGAATGGAGGAAGACAAATGCTTGCAGTCTGTGGTACAGTTTGCTGTGACACTGATCTCCTTGACATGCTGCAGACCAGGTGTAACTGGGAGCGAAGACAAAGGCTCTGTCCTCACATCATAGTAAGCTTACCGGGATAGTATGAATGAGCTTGCTAAAAGAGGAGCAGAGCAACTGTGATCTTCCTGGCAGCCAACATATTTGTGCATTTGCACAAAGTCATGGTTTGGCTTTCATGCAAACATGGCCAAATTGATTCTAACTTAGTTAGAATCAGCTTTCCTCTTTTCTCTCTCTAGAAGAAGTGATAGTGGTTCTCTGTATACTCCTATGGGCGACAGTTTTCCTCTTCTCTTTCCCTTTGTCTCATAGTTTTTTGCAGGTATTGTTGTTGGCCTACCATTTTCCAGTCAAATATAAGGTATAAGAGCAGTGGTGGAGCTGATCCAGCTCTTTGCACAGCTGCATTGCATTTTCCCTCTTTCCCTTGCATGCCCTATTTTGCTGGTGAGTGTGGCTTCATCAAAAATATTTTGTTGGCCAAATGTGGTGGCCTGGCTGACCTAACTAATCAGTGCAGGGGAGAGATCTTGGAGGAGTTAGTATTCCATAATTGGGGACACTTGATAGGGTGTATATGCTCAGCACTTCACTGGATGCCATTTTTTCATATTTATATTCTTAAAAAATAACAGAAAACAGGCACATGCCTTTGCAAACTGGAAATGTGCCCAAATAATTCTGTGTTCAATGTATTGTTTAGAAGATACAGTTTAGAAGATTTATAATAATGGCCCCAAAGCATGAGTGCAAAACAGTAATTGTCAGTTTCAATAGCACCTAGTTTAGAAGGTTAGTGATTGAATATTTGATTGATTGATTGATTGATTGATACACATCTGCTCACTTGTGGAAGTGCTCTGTTGTTTAGCCACTGACATATATTTTGCCTTGAAGAACAATAGACATGAGGGGGCCATTATTTTTATTTCTTTTGGATTGTTTTATTTGTTACTCCCGTAGTGTAATTTCCTTTCGGACTGCCAGCTTAAGTGCACATATTTTGTTATGTAATTGCTTTAAGAAACTTCCTGTATTTTCATGTAGCTGTTCACATACTGATCTGTGATTCTGCTTCAGCTGTGGACTTGGGATGGAATTTAGGAAGGCAAGCCAGATTTCTCTAGTACTGCTCATTATTATCAATAGAGCTCCTGTCTTTTAGCTGATATAGCATCTCTGTGAGAAAATGATAGATTTGAGGATGAACTGGGAAGCTCATCAGATGTAATTAGAAGAATTGTTATGATTGTGTTACTTTCAGGTCATTGTCTGAATGACTTGGAAATGTGATGTAGTGGGTTTCTTTCTTTTTTTTAGTTGGCTGTTGATGAACTGTCAACAAAAAAACTTTTCAGCCAGCATGTAATGATCCAAAACTGGCACTGTTTTGGTTTTGATGGGAACAATGAAAACTTATTTTAAGAAACTTAAGAAAGAAACTAACGTCGGCAAGATTGTTAACAGTGGCAAAGGCATGGTGAATTCTTCTGTATCATTAGAGTGTTGGAAAAGTCTGGTTTGGAATTCAGCCTTGTTAGAGAAACTAACACTACAGGTACCAAAGACATACATGTAGAACAGTTTGAAGTCAATTCGAATGACGTTGTTGCTTTTCTAAATAAAGGAAACAGTGATTGGACACTTCCAGAAATGTATTGTTTGATGTGATATTTTGAGTTCACAGGTGTGGTACTTACAAGATTCTTTCTGTAAAAGAGGAATTGAAAAGAAAATACTATCATGTTGGTTTGTGTATGTTGTTTGTTTTATTGTATAAAGTATTTAATGTTAACAGGTGATTGCCACTTCTGCTCAGGATGAATATTATTATTGGTAATTATATATGATATACAGCTTCCACAAATGCTGTATATGTGTTGATTATGAAGAATACTTGCATAGTATCAGGATGCTTGCATATCTAAATCAGGCATGAGCTCTGAACCAAATATCCCAAACCTTTGGAGAATTATTGTATCCAGTCTTCACTAAATTTGTACTTGTTTGACAAACAATTGGAACCTACTTATTTGTATCAGGTTGGAAATGATTGGTTTTATACGTCTTGTACTGTAAAGGAGTGGACTAAAATCTAGGCTTTGGGAGATTCAGAATAGCAGTGTGCTGCTCCAGCTCTGGGCCTTACATGATTTACTGATGGTGTTTTGCATTGTACTGAGTTTATGTTCAGCAAGATAATGGGAAATTTACAAATACAAATATTTGCAGTAATTGTGGTCACCTAGTGGAAGAACTGTATGCATTGCTATCGGAATAGTAGTAGTAGTAAAAGCGAAATAAAGTCAGTATTGCTAACCAGAAAGATCTCACTTTGCCACCAAGTGTCCTATCCCTCCTTTCTGTAGCAGTAATCCAAATGATCTGTCCTCTTTCCTCAACTCTTTCTTCCATGGAGGAAGTAATGCCACATCTACCTCCTAAACAACATATAACTGACTCAGCCACCCAGTTCCTTAGCAGGCTATTATGCCTAGTAACGAAAAATGAGCTGTGCTATCCCACATTGAAGTAAATTTGAATCTAGATCTAGGCCTAGTCTGTGTTAGATGCTTTTTATACTTGAATTACTATCCTAGTAGACTCAGAATTGACTTTTCATAAAGAACAGTCACAGCATCTGAGTTGGAAATGATTAAGAATCCATATTCTTTTAATTAAATTCATTGGAAACATGTTGGTTTAAATTAAGGAGGAGTGGAGGAAGAGTAAAATGTTCTTTTGTTGAAAGGGGGGGGAAACCATTTAAGTTAAAGCATGATTTTTTAAAAAGTCCAGTGCTTTGGAAAACTTTCCATTGCTGGGGTTGTTTGGCTATATAAATTACAGGCTGAGGAGTAGGTGTAATACGTGCAGGAGATTCTAACATCTGTCTATTCCCATTGTGTGTGTTTAGTTAAAATTGTACAGGAAAATGTGCAAGGCAGAACAGAAATATATAGTACAGCTTTGAATGAAAAGCATCTGGACTGAAATCAGCAATATGTTTTCAGGAAACCCAGTTACTGTCCATTTCAAGTTTCTCAAATTCAGGGAGAGGTGCTTATGAGATCATAATTGGAAAAACAGATGTATTCAGAGGACCTTTCCTGATAGTGATTTTTTGCTAAGTGAGCATTGATCATTTTGGCAACCATTTCTGGTTGTATTTCTTTTTCCAATAGAGATTTTGTGAAGAATTCATTTAAAAAACAACAACAAATCCTCCTGAAGAAGTGTGCATGCACACAGAAGCTTATATCCAGAACAAACTTGGTTGGTCTCTAAGGTGCTACTGGACAACTTTTTTATTTAAATCCTCCTTAGTTACTGGATTTTAAACTCTCTTTTAAAATCACACGCTGTACCCTGATTAAAGTACAAAAGGAAAACAAAAAAAGTCAACCTAAATATAAGTCAACAGAACATTCAAAAAGCTTCAAAATCAAGACATTAAAAAATATTCAAGCAACAGTTGTCCCAAACGCCCCTTACTAACAGTCACATTTAAGTCTTGAAGGTTAAAGTGTGCATACGTGTAATGGAACTGAACAGATAGCTGGAACTTTTTTGACAGTTTGTTGTTACTCCCAGAGAGAGGCAAGTGTCATGCCACTCTGTGTTTGCTGGAGGGTTTATTGGGAAGATGCAGCACAGTATCATAAGCTATAAAAAATACATTTTTAAGCCCAGTATCTTGTCTCCATTAACCATCAGAGTGTTCTTGTGTCCAGGAGTCTGAGCTCACCAGATAGACCTAAACACTGGACTCCTTCTCATGATGGACAATAACACTTAATTAGATGATATAAACTAAGTATTGATACACTAATGGGGAGGCCTTTTATATTCTGCCTGTCATGCTGTTAGCTGGCTATCTCCATAATGAGCTTTATTCTTGGAGAAAGGACTCTGATATTATAGCCTCGGTGGTCTCTCTTTCTTGCAAGGGTATGTTGCATTGATAATTGTGGACTAAAATATAAGCACTCTGTGTATGTACATAAGGCCAAACACCTATGAAAGTACAAGTGTTGCTAAAAATAAGAGATCTGTGTGCCATAGACAAGGTATGATGGGACAGATCCCCATCTAATATATAAATTGGACCAACTGGAGTATCTGTTAGTCATAGCTAGCCCTATATACAGTATAAAAATTTGCTTTTAACATCAGCTTCATACTGTTCTGTATAAAACTATGGCTAGGGAAACATTGATGAATACTAATATTTTAATATTTAGAGACAACATTGAATACTTAAAAGCCTGGGTGATCAGCACCTGGGATATTTTCTCCTCTTCCATGTTTCAGAAGTAGATGCTCTTTAAGATAACTTTATATTTGGGGAATTATACAGCATTTTTCTTGGTCGTGCCCTTCAATATTCTGATTATTCAAAAACAAATAAATATATGGTTTGCTTGAAAGTAAACATATGTAAAACTGGAAAGCACAGCAACATTGAGCCTATATCATGTTGGTGTTTTAGCAAATATTCATTCACCTCATTAATTGTCTAGGTAGTAAGGTAAATGACATGTATCTTAGATGATAGGTTATACTGCCAACATTCAGAAAAACTCTGGTGAATATGATCTGTTTGGTGTATAGGATGTTCCTAATACCCCAGTGAGATCTAGAATTTGAAAGCTTTGTGGTTCTGAGCCTCTTGCAGCTTTTCCTGTGTACTTCAGGTAGAGAATTTAAAATATGTTCTTCTCCATGTAGAACCTGTGCTGAAATTTTTAGTTTCTTTATGTGTTAGGTTTTATGCATTAGTACTATCATTTAAGTTGGCAAACACACCCCTTTGTGATATTTGTCTGGCTGCTTGTTTTGTGACAGCCAATTTCTAGTGTTCTCATAGTGTATCACAGTCTTCCCCAATCTGGTGCCCTCCAGATGATTTGGACTACAACTCCCAGCAGCCCCAGCCAACCTACTTCTTACCCCATCACTGGTATGCACCATTTCGGTACAAATGTATTATTGTATTTTAGTGTTTTGTTGGAAGCCGCCCAGAGTGGCTGGGGAAACCCAGCCAGATGGGTGGGGTATAAATAAATAATAATAATTATTATTATTATTAGTCCTCAGGTAAGCAGGTGGCTTTGAGGAAATCACACAGCAACCACTGTATAGAACTCACCACATACAACAGCTGCCATACTGATGAAATTTGAAGCTGCCTATATATGGCAGACATCTTACATGAAATGATCCTTCAAAACTACAAATACATCAGTTCAATCAACCAAAACATCTGGGAAGTACTGCATGTTGTACAGTCTCACTGTGTGTCTCAGTTCATCTCAAATTGCAGCTGTGATTGTGGGAATTCCTTGAGACTTTGACAAGCACACCATATACATGGTTACAGTGGGGAAAATATATTGTGTGAATTTGTCTTCAGACGTCTTTCTGTATGAGTGTGAATTAAAAGAGAGAACAGTTGCTATGGATGAATGAAGAAAAGAACTTGTCAGAAACAAAAACAAATGTCCGATATGCTTTCCAGAAAGCAAGAAAATGGCATTGCTTCATACGTGTCCAACTGGAGCCTGGCTAAGGCAATGTGTGGTTCCATCCGTGACTTTCCCACCTCTCAAATGGGAAATTGCTATGATCCTTTTATACTGACAAGTTTGGAGGAGGAAGTTCTGAGCAGAAATCTCACCTCCCTCTTAACATTCTTAGTATTGTGTGTAACTAGGGGGGAGTGAAACAGGTACTTTGGTTTTACAAACTTGCCTTTATTCTTCATTCTTGTCAGCAACTCAATTATTGCACTGGGGAAGCTGGATACTGTTCACTGTATTGACCAGATGATAATTGCATTGGGGTGAGAAGAGAAATATCTTGCAATGAACTTTCTCCTCTTTTCTAGGCTCAATTTACAAAATCCTCAGATGCCCGGTCCCATTCAGGATAGCTCTCTGGCTCTAACTAGCAGATTCAGGATGTGGTGCTTTCTTTTCTTCCAGAAAGAAGAGGGTAATTTGGCAAAAGCTGTAATAAGCTATTTTCTCCTTCTGGCTTTCACAGCTTTTTCTTGTGGCACTCTCAACAGCCAGTGATGTGGGGTGTCAAATTTTCAGTGCTTTATATTTTTGTGAAAAAAATCCAGTTTCATAGCCTCATCAGCAACAATGAATGACTTCCAATAGCAAGTATTAGGAAAGCTTGGCCATTTCAAAGTTTATAGCTTGATATACTAAATACAGGTAAAATGAACATGCTAAATTAGATCACTCTCAAGGATATCAGAAAATGTTGCAGTGCAAACTGAAAATATTCCAATGTCAATTGCCTCAGTTCAGACTTTTCTGGAAATTCCACATCTCTGGCAACAGCCCACATGAAGAATTCAGCTACCTGCCTACTGCTCTGTAGCAACAGCAACACCTCCATACCTGCCTAAGTCTTAGAACATTGCCTACATGGTTTGTTTTATCCTTCTTTATAGCTGTTGAATTTACTTAGTTTTTGTTTATTGGAAGCTAAGGGTTCAGGCCTCCTTTTGGAGGTGGTGGTGGGAGGGAATGAACATGAACATGAACATGAACATGAACTAGAAGTTGTTCAAAGTTCTGCCCTAAAATGAACTTAATTCTCCTTTAGATTACCTAGCAATTAGGGAAACTACTTCCAGGCAGGGCTCTTTTTTTTCGCCGGAACTCAGTTCCAGCACCTCTCAGGAGGCATTAATGGTGAGCACCTCTTTTTATAGAAAAATAGCACAGCTTTCAGAGATGTTTGAACGGGTTCCTTGAAATTCATTGAACTGAACTAGTTCATTCCAACCCCTGCTTATCATTGCAGGTGTATTGCCCCCACAAACTAGGCTTTGAACTGTGCTTTTCAAGGCAAACAACACTGTTACAAGCAAAATGTCACCTTTAAAAGCCTTCTTTTGTTTGAAAAGCTGCTTCAGGAAGGGACAGTTTAAGAGTTAGCAGGGAATAAAGTACTCCCTGCACCTATCTTAATGTTTCCAAAGAACAACAAAACAGTTGCCTGAGTATCATTACTGATCAAGAGCTTCATTAACTACAAAACCCAGCATTTGGGATCCCCTCCAAATCTTTCATAGGATTTTGTAGTCATTTTGTAGCTCTGCCCAAGCCAGTACTGTATTAGCACCCCAGAGTCTTTGGGCTATATTAAGACAAGGTGTTTTAGATCCATTATGAAATTTGGACAACAGTGCATTGTAGGAAGATGGGGGATAACGTCAACCCTTTCCCTGCATAGATTTCCCGTTGTAAGTGCTCCCTAGCTGCCCCATAATAGGTGCTTGGTTGAAGGCATTTACGCCAGAAAACAGTGCAGTATGGAAGGGTTCTACCTTCCCATCCCCACAGTACTAAGGTCTTGATTAATTCAGAGGGAGGAAGAGAGAGTTGTTGCTTTAAAAAAATGAAAAGTTTGGGAGAACCAATCATGGATCTCAAACATATATAATTTGGCCCACTGCTGCAGAAATTGGGTGAGGCATATATCATATCATATCATGCACATCAGGAAGTCATCAATGGTGTAAAGCTGATGCAGAGTATGCATACTGTTTCCAGTGTGATTTTTGGCAGAAGCAGCAGGACTTAAGCACTTTTCTTTAAAAAAGAAAGAAGAAAAGAAAGAGTCTTTACAAGGGTAAAAAAGAGATATGAAACAGGCCCAGAAAGGAATGCTGGCAGCACATCCCATACAGGATGAATGTAGGGAAAACCATCAAGTGGAACAACTTCTAGCCTAGACTTGGCATGGAAGTTGATGTCTTGTGCAGTGAATCTGAGAAGTAAAAGCTTTTTCAAAAATGTCATTAAAAATGAATGTTTAAAAGAATAGAAAATGTGACTTGGCAACAAAGAAAGCAGAACCTCCCCTCACTTCCCAGAACATGCATGCAGCCTGCATGGTATAGTGTGATGTAATGGTTAGTGTAAGACTAGGACCTGGAAGACAAAGGGTTCAAATCCTCACTCAGCCATGAAACGCATTGGATGACCTTGGACGAGTCTTGGCCTAATCTACTTCACAGGGTTGTGAAGTAGATTAAATGAAGCAGGAGAACCCTGTACACTGCCATAAGCTCCTTGGAGCAACGGCAGGATATAAATATACAAAATAAATAAATTAATATATTGTTTCTAAAATGCCATGAAATCACTTTCTTCAAAGAAGCTTTTAGTTGTGTTGCTACAGGGGAAAAATTGAACTTCATTGAGAATACTGGGTGTTGCAATATAGTTAAATAGTGCAGAAAGTAATAGTATGAAGACATGTCAAACTTTTGTCAGCTGACAAATATTATGTGGCAGCATTCATCTTGTAGTTGCAGAGGCAAATCAATAAATGTTTCAGAGGCCTAAAAGGGATGGGTGGTGTGTGGTGTTTTGTTTTTTTTAAAGGGATCTGTATTTAAACCACACTACCCATTATCCAGTAATACACACTGGGTAGAATTCAGTGTTGTACTATTACAAACATTTCACTCGGCAAATGGAGCAATTCTGCCCCTCCCTTTCTGGATATTCTCCCAACACCAGCAGCCCTACCAAGGATAGGGGGCGCAGGGAAGCAAGGGGAAACTCCCATTGTGTAAGTGCTTGCATGGGGCTTCTGCTGATGGGGTTTAAGTGAATCCTGATCATGAAGTTTTATCTAAAAGATACACAAGTGAAAGTTGCTTCTGCTCATTCCACCCCCCCCCCATCCCACTGCAGTTCCCCATACTACACATTAGCTCTTTCCTAAGGGTCCTCTAACCTCAGGAGAGGTTTTTCAGGGAGCTGTAGTGGGCTGGAAAATCCTGTTATACAAGCAGACTTATATCTGCCTAACTTTGGATGCAACTTATGAAATTTGTTGTGTTGTGTAAAGGTAAAGGGACCCCTGACCATTAGGTCCAGTCGTGGCCGACTCTGGGGTTGCGGCGCTCATCTCGCTTTATTGGCTGAGGGAGCCGGCGTACAGCTTCCGGGTCATGTGGCCAGCATGACTAAGCTGCTTCAATATTTGAAGGACCATCCCTTGTTTTTGTATTATGTATGTTGTTCACCACCCTGGAATCTATTGGATGAAGGACAGTATACAAATAATTTAAACAAATAAATAAAATAAAAAGAGTGCTTGGTTTCATTTGACCAGGCTGACTGTCATCTACCTGCACCAGTGCTGATTTACTAGATCTGTGCTGCTGCTCCCCAGAGACAGTTTACCTCTTTGGTAAAGGTAAAGGACCCCTGACAGTTAAATCCAGTCGCGAACGACTCTGGGGTTGCGGCGCTCATTTCATCATGAGGCCAGCATGACTAAGCCGCTTCTGGCGAAACCAGAGCAACACACGGAAATGCTGTTTACCTTCCCACTGGAGCAGTACCTATTTATCTACTTTCACTTTGACGTGCTTTCAAACTGCTAGATTGGCAGGAGCTGGGACTGAACAATGGGAGCTCACCCCGTCGCGGGGATTTGAACCACTGACCTTCCAATCTTTAAGCCCTAGGCTCAGTGGTTTTGACCACAGCGCCACCCATGTCCCTTCGCCTCTTTGAAGAGGGTGGAAACCATACTTGCAAATGATTCGAGAAAGGCTCCAGGCCCATTTTCCCACATATCATTGCTGTGTTGAGAGTGCCACTGCTTTTGTAACCTAAATGGCACCATTCACAAGTGGACAGTATCAGGCTTAGGGGAATCCAGAGATTGTAGAAGCACAAGTAATTTCTATGACAAACTCTAAGGGGAACTTCAAAAACATCCCCCAAAGGATTGAGTATGCTCAGTGGCTATGGAGTTTGGGATATGAGGAGAGGAGGGAAATGGAGTGGATACAATAGAAGAATAGAGTCTTTTGCAGCTCTTGCTATGTATATGGATTTTGCAAGAGAGTTTTTATAGCAATACATAAAATGACTTGCCGGATCTAAAATCACACAAAAAGTGACAGGTGCCTTTCCCCTTTCCACCATAAGTCCTGCCCCTTTCATTGAAAGTTCCACCTTTTGCTATAAATTTTATATTGTTTAATATAAATTTGATACAAATTATTCAAAAAAGTGATTATAAAAGTTTGTTTTAGGGTATCATGTGACCTATGTACGTGGCTGTCTCAGTGCCACAAATCTGACAGTGGGTTTTGAGTCCCCGTATAGATACTAAATGTTTGGGTTGTGCCTCCCCACCCCACCCCTGTAGATGTCGTCATTAGCATCCAGCCTAGTGTTTGAAATTCCAGTGTGTATATACTGTAAGCTCTTCAGGGTAGCCTGCCCTTTGCCCCAGCTACAGAACAGATGTAGATGACCCAACCATCCTTACCCCAAGGCTTTATGAATGCTATGACCAATAGGAACAGGCCTTTCCATTGACCATAGACCAAACCAATGAGCTTTTTGGAAGACAGGGACATGCCTCTGGGATATGAGAACTAGGAAAGGTATAAATTTGAAGGCTGTTTTTTCTTACTACACTTGTCTATTGATTTATAAAATCTGATTTCTTCTCAGGGCTAAGATGCAGAAAATGATTATTTGTTACAGAAGTTCCATGTCTTTCTGTGGAGATCTTGTAGACTAGGAAATCCAAATATTTTTATTAAGGGGATTTAATGGAACCACTAGTATATGTGCATTGCAGAAATACTCAATTTTCATTAAATAATATGCTGCACAAGAGATAAAATTAACTTTGTGCTGTTTCTGAACAGAAACTCAAGCCATAGGTAGTTCTGATTACTCGCTGTCTCTTTCGCTTTATATTTAACAACAATTATTTGCTGTGATCTTGCTGTGTTTGACAAACCCACCACCTGCTCCAGCTCCAGGAGAGGAGGAAGGGAATTCCTTCTACTGTAATTCCCAGTCTCTAAGCATAAGCTGCTCCACTGAGCATTTTGATGGATGCCCTTGGCTCACTTTTAATCTTCAAACCAGTATTGGCTTTTCCATGGCATGCCAGGTGAGATGCATGCGAAAGAGGAGATCTGAGAGTGGAACAAGAGTAGAAAGTGGGAAAGGTTAATGTAGCAGAAGGATGCAGGTTAATCAATATGCATAAAGACTCATACAAAAGAAAGCCCATGTTTGGGTCCATTTTATTCTCTAACTTCTCTGCATGAATTCTGAGGGTGCTGTAAACTGTTGAAATGTGAAAGTCCCTGGAGGTAAAAGTTCTTCATTGCATATTTATAAAAATGAACAATCAGTGAGCAACAAAAGCTGTTACGTTACACAAGTCAGAGTCATTCAGTCATTTGCTAGCTACTGTGGAATTACTGCATTTCCAGTCAGCCCAACTAGAAAATGTTTTTGTCTCCACTGAAAATAAGCGTTTCTAAGGGTAAGTGTGAGCCATCCCTACTGGCATAGTCTGTCGGCTGACTTGGTAGGTGGTGGGCCCTAAAGTGGCTCTGTGGTCTGAGCACCCACAGTCCTGGACTCATACCAAGGGGTTTGTGGTTAAAACCCTGGGTGCTTAGTGGGAATTCTAGAATGTGCCTTAGGATAGTTTGCTTCTTCCACAAGCTCTAGTGGCTGACTATACAATATTTGCCCTGCCCTCCCTTCAGCTTACAGAGCAGATATTTTGTACATATGTTCTGCAAATGGATGAGATTATCTCACCTCAGGTATGAAGCGCAATATCCACAAACCACATCAACAATCTTAGACCCCCTAACCACACTGTAAAACTTTTTAGAACAAAGAAAGTTTATATTCCATAGGGCTTGATGATGAGAAACTTTTTGATTTTGCTTGTTTTGTGCTCCCCCCAGCTTTATGTATGTCAATTACTTTTCACAAGCCCTGAAAGAAATGGATTTCCAAATAAAAACCTTTGAAAAAATATTGATCATTTTGACAAAAAAAAATGAAATATGAAAATTCTAAAAAAAACACGGGTGGGGGATTGTTGTTCTAAAATAAAGTTAGGTATTGTAACCCTGTTGCACTTTTCCCTTTCCTGCACACACTATTTTCCAAACAACAGCAAGATTTTAAAAATGGATGGGCTTTGAATTCCTTAGGGAGCGCTTTCCAGTGAAATAGGGTTGAAATGGGTTAGGTTTTCAAGATTGGTCTAAAACCATGGGAACAAGAAGATTACTTTGCAGGGCATGGTGGAAGAATCACTACAATATGAAAAATGATGATAAGGTAGTAGCTTTCCAAACTGTGTGTCACAACACATTATTGTGTCAGCTGCATTGTGTAGGTGTGTCATGGGAATGCTCCCCATGCTCTTCCCAGGGCTGGAAGGCTGGCAGTTTATCCTCCGGTTTGCTAGTAAAACTGAATTACTGTGGCTCAAAATGATGCATTGTCTAAAATCTGTGTCACCAAATTAGAAAGTTTGGAAAGCTGTGTAGGGATTTTAAGGAGACTTACAAAAGAAACACTGTTGTAAATATGAGTACTAGCTTAACTGCCTCTTCCTTTACAAAGTTTTTAGTCTACTTTACCACATGCCAACTTAGCTGCTACTCTTCCACTTATGTACATTTTGTTAAAGCATCTGTTTTAGACAAGAAACAAACTAGAGTAAGGTTACCAGATGTCCCCGTTTCCTGGGGACAGTCCCCGGATTTACAAATCAGTCCCCATACAAAATCCATTGAAGTTGAAAAGTGTCCCCAGATTCATTGGAAAAAATATGGTAACCTTAAACTAGAAGTCATTTGTTGCTCAAAGAGATGAAATATCTCTGATATTTTCCACTGGGTATCTGTGGATACCAATTCCTAAAATCTTAGCTGCTTGCTAGTCTCTGGGAAGTTTGATGTGCTTTTCTGACTGCTCCCTTGAATTGTCAGTGCTGGCTTGTAGCTCCTTGCTTCTTCTGCAGTAGCTAACGTCCCTGGGAAAGAGCTTATGGGCCTTGCCCAGTCCCTTTGCAAATCTGATAGCCAGTCTTTCCACTGCTACCCTCTAGCGGCTGTCATGCCTTACTGCTATGACAGCAGCTCGGAGTGGGTGAGGCAAATAAGGCGAGGAGAGAAAAATCAATGCACAGAGAAAGCGAGACTGGGAAGAAGGAGAAGGGAGGAGTCGCCTCATCAGCCATTCCTGTCTTACAGGGTCCCAGCTGTCATTGGTAAAAGAGGAGGGAGGGAGAGGATTTACTATTGTGTGAAACAAGTGGGAGGGGGCAAGACAGAGAGGAAGACGAGGAAAGGAAGGAAGCACCATTTGTTTCACCTGAGCTTGAGCTTCTTTGCAAGCTGGTACTGCTCCTAGGTTGGAGGATAGGAGCTGGTTCTATCCCTGCCACAACAGCCGAACGTCATGTCTGGTTATCAGGGCAAGAAGAACATCCCCAGGATAACAGTGAGTGGCTTAACATATCTTCTTTCGTTCTCCCCACCCTCCGCTCTTCATGTTTGCTGCATTTATGCTTCTGTCTTCACATTTGTTTTGTATTAGTTTACTCATCCCCACCAGCTACTACCCATGTCAGTCTAGTTTTGTAAGAAGCTGGTGCTGATTCAATTCATAGTTGCGAGGGATATTAAAAAGCCAGCCAGCTTGCAAAAATGAGGAGGTGCATGCAGGGGCAGCCCTGATTAAGTAAATATTGGGACTTTCATAAACTGTACAGTTGACACGGTGGTGGGGGAACCTTCATTGTCTCATGCTGTTAAATTACTGTCTGGGAGGACTGTACTTGTGTGAAGCAGTGATATCAGACTGCAGTATCTTCAAGCCCCAAAATGTTGCTATCAAATCTCTCTCCCCCCCCCACCTCCCCCTTCATGTCTGTTGTCCATGTCTGTGGGGCATGGTGAGGATTTAGTGACATTCTGTTTCCAACCCTGCATGTTAGGAGTAGATTTCCCTCCTTGTTCACTTCAGGATGTTTGATCACTTTTTAAATGCTTTGGACAGACCCTTGTTTTTGTTTTTTGTTCTGTCACCACTCTTTTTTTTTTTTAAGCAGGAACACTGGTATGCCTAAGTTGCCTGCTGCATAGTTTTGTTTGCTGCATATTTGGGTGCGTCATGTGCTTTGACTGGCTCAGGAAAAAGAGGAATTGATTCATCTGTAAATGTGAAAGCTTTGTTTTACAAATGAATGTGAAATATATAATTTTCTCTTCTTCTAAATAATGGTTTGCTTGTTAACATGAAATAAAAACTGTCTGTTGGAGAGCATGGGGGGAAATACTGTGAAAAATAGCAGTGTGTTTTGCATCGTTGCATCAGTGTGTGCCCTGCAGATGCATTTCCAGTGGCTTCATACTCCACCCTGATTTATTGTTGATGCAATGAAACGGCTTGCAGAGGGGGTACCCCCTTGGTCTTTAATAGGCCTGGGGTTTATTGTCGCTGGCTTCAGATGCAAGGAGTGCAGCTGTGCTTTGTCTCCAATGCATTTTAATGAAATCTTTTGTGGGATAGGGTATGCATTGGGGGAACGGGTGGCTACTCCATCTTTGAGGCAAACAAAGGAAGCAGCACAACCAAGCATGCACACACACTCGCACACACACTGGGTTGGAGAGGGGAGAAGCTTAGCAGATATTTTGTCTTCCACTGAACCTGTTTAGAGGGCAACTAATTTCACTAAAGGATTGCCTTTTCTGAAGAGATTTTATTGAGTGCTTTCTTTTGTTTGCCCATTTAATGACTTAAAAGCATTTGAATAAAATTGATGCTCATGAATTCATTTTGTGATGTGTGGGGCATATTTTCCTACCTGTGACCTTAAATAAGGGATGAGTTTATGTTAACTACAGCTGCCAGTTTGTTTTTGTCACCCCCCACCCCACCCCCACTGAAACAGCCAGTTTTCTTGAACCTTTTTTGGAACAGATATTTTTCTTTTAAGGTGAAAAACACTGAGAGTCGCAGACTAGACAGTTGGGACTAATTATATAAAATAAGTAGACATAGCCAACATCTTATTTTACTCTCACATTTCTGGCAGTACTGAATTATTTGCCTTTAATGCCAAAGTCATTTAATATTTAAGCCAATTTTTACCTGCTTTCAGATAAAGCAGCTAGGTGTGTACATGCACAGTATAATGCTATAAAGCAGCCATGTAAAAGTGTTACATTTTCTTCCCTTTTAGGTCTAGAAGGTGTGACCTACATTAGCTAGCTAAATCCCATGATATTGTTTTCTTTTGTGCTGCTGCACCTGACTGCAGCAGTTTTTCCTCTTTGACGCTCTGTGCAGTGGGGCCGCACCTATCTTGGTATTCAGCATATGCTTTCTTATGCTTTCTTTGAAATAGTGGAAAGTCCAGCTGCACTAGGGTCCAGCTGCTCACTATTGTGTGTTGTTTCATAGGTCTGCTTTGGTTATTTTATGGCTGCAATTAGCTTAAAAAATTATGGCATTTAGTGCTGTGGATCTAAAGTCAGGATAAAAGTAGTGATAATAAATAAATTCTTTGAGGGTAATATTATTCTTTTCAGGGGGTTTTAAAGCATTCTCAGCAGCACTCTCTCAAATTAATGTCATTTTAAAAAGCAGTTCAAGATGGTGTAGCTGGAAAATAAATGGTAAAGTTAGGTATTCACCTTTAAAGATGCATACCTAACAGTCCTCTGATAGTGTTAATAATTGTCAATTCTATACCACATGGTAACCACATAGTACAGAACTGTAAGGTGTGTACTATTACGAGAATGTTCCTTGTTCAGTATATGAGATGTTGGTCCCCTGAAGACATGACACATTGAAGAACTGCTTTCTTAGGAGTCCTGGGGGAACCCCACCCCCACTTTCTACAGGGAAGTGCATCCCTCCATTTGAAAGGGTGTGACCACCCAGGAACCAGAAGTAATTTCCATGAGGGAAAGGGTATACTGGTATTCAATATTTCTTCTGCCCACAACACTGATTGCCACATGTGGCCAGCTCAGGCTGTGCACAGCCCATCGTTTTTTCCTCATTTGACAGGTTGACTAGCAGGGGATTGCAGTGCTGTGGAAGAACATCTGAGATCAAGAAAATAAACTCTTGAGGTATAAGAGCACTGAATCCCTTTGTCATCATAGCTGGCAGTAAATCTCACTGCTAGTAATGAATATTGGCGTGAAAACAGTAGTACGCTTCCACAGGCAGTGATGTGTGCCTGGTTGTATGGGTGGGGCTCTGCCTAAACTCAGGCATAACAGTTTCTGCGTGATCCTTAGGGATAAGCCAAAATCTTGCAGAATAATAGTGTTGCTTGTTTGTACTTAGCTTGTACATAAACTAAGAAATCCACTACAACTTGTGCAGATATTCATCTTGCATGTTGTTGAAAAGCAGTCTGATGAAATGGGAATGGCAGGATGTCTGTCTTGTCTTTCATACTGGTGCTCATGAGCAGCAGCTGTATTGTGCATATGTGGCTATTTTCACTGTGTTCTCAGGGCGTTGCCATCTTGAATATGGCTATACATGTATAGTGAGATTACCTAGACACCTGAATTAGGAAGATGGTGAGGTAGACTGAATAAAATAAGTTGTAGATAATATATTGGAACTGGCCAATATTTCAAAAGCTCAGTGGGCTTAGGTTAGGAAGTAAAGATGTGAGACAGATAAGATACAGACTATACAAATAGTATGTGTTTTGCTCAAAATAGACTCTTAGGGATCAAAATTACAATTGATGCTATGTTTATTTTTTTAAGTCTTGCCAAATAAATTGACTATACTAAAGACAATAGATGAATCTTGGATTGCATGCAAAGAGCATGCAGATTCCGATCTGGAATACTTCACTAGTTTTTTTTACTCCTCATCAATAAATTAGATCTTCACTTTGGGAAGAAAAATGGAGTCCTGAAGGTAAAGTGACTTTCTCAACTACATCTGCATCAACTACATGCTTTTATTTTTAGACCAGTCTTTTTTCCACTGGGCATCTCCTAGCTCCACAGTATATTTTTGTTTATAAAAATATGGTATATTGGGGAATATACCATATATACCCAATTGGTGAACCCACTGGAAAGTTGTTCATGAAGCTGAGGTTTCTAACAGTAACCACACCACCAGGATAATGCATACCTTGTACAGTATGTAGAACACTATTCACTTGCCCCTGCAATTCCCAGAGATTGTGATTTTTGGATTGCCTTGGTAAAAAAAGAGGGGACATAACAACACTCTTTTGCAAGAGAGAGCTGCATTGTTGTCAGTGCATGACCTTTGTAATGTTTCTTTCAGTAACAGGAATAACATTTAAACTCTGCCCTTCTTCCAAGCCATGTGCCTTGTGGACTGTAAATATGTAAAGTATTATCTTCCTGGCTGAAACTAACCTGTTACTTTTCTGACCTGAGACTCAAAACATGTACCCAATTACTGTATTTCTGAACATCTTTTGGCCTGTGAAGTGTTGCAGAGGACCAGGAATTGCATGCAAGTGTTAAGCAATTTGGAAGAAAAGTAATGGCAAAGTGATGGTTTTCAAGGAAGCATACCTTTATTACACACACCCAGAACAGTTTACATAGGACTCCTTGATTCAATCATTTTAACAGGCCAAATCTGCTTAGTTGCAATAGTAGAATTCCATTGTCTGCTGTGAGACCATTCTCTATATAACTCTGCATTGTATAAAGAGTCTGTGTAAAATTCCATTTTCATACTCCTGCCAAGTCAGGAAGCGGCTCTAATATATGTATGTTTTATGCTAATTTAACACACTTCATTGGCCACATACCCAATACTTTGAAATATGAGTATACATCTGAGAGTCGCACCTATGCCTATAAAAGATCCAGGAAAACATCATGTGGGAGACAAGATGAACAAACTGTGGAGCTACTCCAGCAGTACTCTGTGTGCATGTGCTGCCCAAAATTGTATAAGATGGCTTTTTCCTCTTAGACCTTTGAATATGTATGAAAGAAGTAGAGTAGAAAGAATCTACTCCAGTCTTTCAAAAGTAAAATGAGGAGGGGACTTAAGATTTAGATGAACGTTATCTTTTTTAACAGAAAAAACTGTTCTTATAACTTGGACTCCTGTTTGTTTTCTGTTTCCCTATTGTTTTTTACAAATGTCAAATATGATGTTCCAAAAATATGAGAATCAGGTAGGGAAGGCATGGTCTATCATTTTAAAGCAGTCTGAAAGATGAAATAAATCACAAGTATATGCAGTGCTATTTTTCTAGACAAACAGGTGCCGGAACTCACCAGGAACACCTTCCCCTTTCTCTTAAAATGGCAATGGCACCCACCTGAGAGGTGTCAGAACTGAGTTCCGGTGAGTTACCCCTGGAAAAAAGCTCCATATCCACCCTTCTGCCACTACCACTACTGAACCCTAACACCAGTGTTCAAAACTTTATCAGAAGATATGTTGCTTGAACCACACAAACACAGTGAAATTGATTTCCTGAGGAATACTGCCCATTGTGTTTTTTAAAGAAACCCAGTGAATAGAAATACTTTGTGGCTTGTCTGTTAAAGTTCTGGGTTCTCTTGATGCTTTGGTTCCATTTCAAAGGCAAAGGGGGTGTTGGGTTCAGGAGCTAATAAGGACAGTAAGAGTAATACTCAATGGCTTGGCTTGGGGCCAAGATACTTGAAAATATAGAGGACACAGGGTTAGCCATAGCATATATTTTCCCCCACAAGCGGGAAATACATAGGAATTGGAAACTTGATTTACAATTGGTCCTTTATGGTAGGGATTTAAAATCAGTTATTTATTTTAGATCAATCTGCCTTTCTACAGACCATTGTTTTTGGTAGGGAGCATGCTAGTAATTGCACATTTGTGCTGCCTACCAGGAACATTTGACTGGATTGATCAATATAGATTTTTAAAGTCACCAGGAAAAGGGTCAATTTTAAATCAATGAGTTAAACCAAATTTCCACTTTTCTAATTCATCTATTAACATGCATCCTAACTGGTTGTTGTAGCAATTAAAACATCTTCATACAACCTATGAATATAATCCAGAACCTCTGATCATGTAGCCTACATGGCCTTTGTACAAAAGGACTTTATGCAGATTTGGAATAGTTTTAAAATTAGGAGTGCCTGGTACTCTTTCATATGCAAGGACACTTAGCAAGATCACTTACACAAAGATTAAGTAACCAGAAGTTTATTGTTGTTAGCTACATTTATATTCAACCTTTTCTACAAGAAGTATAAGACAGCATGCATAGCTCCCACCTTCCATTTTATACTTACAACAGTCCTACAAGGTAGAGTAGTGACTGGTCTAAAATCACTTCATGGCCAAGTGAAGATTTGAACCCAGTTATCCCCAGCCTCAGTCCAACATTCTAAACACTATATCACACTGTCCATTTCAGTGGAAAAGGGAAATGCTCTTTGGTTGACTTCTAAATATTCATGGCTTCCTCAGTGATAACTAGAATATATATTACATGTGTCATATCTGTAATATGTGATCTTGAAAGTTGCATATGTTTGCCTTTTGTTTCTATTTTTAATACAATATTCCTTCTACAAAGTCAATTGCTTTAAACATGTTTGAACTGAATTTAGATTTTGTTTTAAACCACAAAACAAACGTAACTAATCTTTGGGAGAGAGAAAAAGTTGTTTCAGAGAAAAAAAATGGTTTTTACTGATCCATCCTGTGGTGCATAATCCTCTCCAGATTTTTATAGACACCAGCTATCAAGGAATCTGGCAGAGGTGTTAGAAGTTTCAGTATCAGTCTTGGGGCCATTTCACATATCTACAAACGTGACCTCCATTACAAATCTATGCAGTTAGTCTACATAGAGTGAATGTTTGCCTGTGAATTACTACAAGGATAAATAGATTTTATTCATAGTAGAGCATCAGTGCAGTTTGTCCCATTCATGGTAGTGATTTATGCTTGTGAAACATGAAGGGATGAATTGTGCTACCATTCTACCTGTGTACATTCAATCTCAACTAAAAGAAACCCGTGCATTAGTATTCCATGTGCACCCTTCTTTTCTCATAAAGTCAGTGTTGTTTTGTGCAAGGATTTTTGGATGGCAGGGGGGAAATGGGAGTTCATGGTGGCTTGCATCTTTTTAAAATCAAGCCATCTGCCTTCCTGATCTTGCTTTTGAAGTCAGACAGTACTAATGTCTCTTCCTGTAGAAACTTGCAGAGGAGTAGCCAAATGAGTCTGTGCTCTTAATAGTTCATGGCAGTGTATGCTGTAATAACTTTTTAATCTTAAAGGTGGTAGATAACTCTTTGCTGTTTATCCTTTTGGTAGAAAACATCTGGTGTGTAGGGTAACATTTATGTGAGAATGAACAAGCAATGAAGTTTCCTGTAGCAACAGAGAGGCATCTTCATTTAACAGGATGCTCAAAGGAGGTAACAGAGAAGGCCTGGGATCTGTGCCAGAATTTCCAAAGAGAATCCAAGATGCACTTAGATTCTTAGTGCTTTTGTTGTGACTCCATGAATGTGATTTCTCTCATCTGTATCTTGCAGATAAAATTTGCCTCAGGCCAACAGTGGCTAATGATGCAGCCTGAAACAGGGTTGGCAGGAAGACATGGCTGGGTGTGGGGAAACAGAAATGAGCTTTGGCAGGATGAACAGTGTGTTTATTGTAATAGTCGGGGAGATCTTGGTAAGCATGCAAAAGCCCTTGAATTAGTCAGGCCCGTTTCCTGATAAGCGCTTCAGTTTCCTCTTTAGTTCCTCTTGCATACGAACAAATCCAGAACTTTCTGTGCCAGAATAGACATGATGTCATTGAATGTGCCATCCCCCACCCTTTTCTGCCTACCAACTAATGGAGTTGGTGCTGGCCTTCCTCTTTCTTATTTTACTGCTACTAGGGCTCAGCACAAATGATGATAAATGCAAAACTTAAATATCAATGAAACAACCACTAAGGCCATTACATTCCTGTATACCTTCGCTACAGCAACAGTAGAAGAAGAAGAAGAAGAGTTTGGATTTGATATCCCGCCGTTCACTCCCCTTCAGGAGTCTCAAAGCGGCTAACATTCTCCTTTCCCTTCCTCCCCCACAACAAACACTCTGTGAGGTGAGTGGAGCTGAGAGACTTCAAAGAAGTGTGACTGGCCCAAGGTCACCCAGCAGCTGCATGTGGAGGAGCGGAGACGCGAACCCGGTTCCCCAGATTACGAGACTACCGCTCTTAACCACTACACCACACTGGCTCTCGCCAGTAGACCAAAAATAAACTTCTAACTGTGCTGTGCCTCCTCCTTTATTCAGATGCATTAGCATCAGTTACCTCTGCCCTTTAAGAATTCAGAAGGGGGGAAATGTACTTCAGTCAAAAAAGTTAAGTAACTTGCATTCAGCAGTGAGTTAGGACAAGGTGGCAATAAGGGAGGTGCACATAGACCTTTTGTTCCTCTTAAGGTTTTTTTGGGCTGCAAGCATGCAGACAGGGGAAGGCTGTATTGAGCCCTGTCAGAACCATCCCTCTGTGGGTGCTGGTACGAGCAGATTGTTCACTTCTTATTTTCTCCACATCACATAATTTTTTTTATTTGGAGATCACATTTTAGAGCACGGGTCTGAAACTAGAAGATAAAGATTTTTTTAAAAGAGCATTGCAGATCTAGTACTGTACTGTATTAAAACAAACACAGATTGTGCTACAATGTAATTTGCACACACTTGATACATTCTGCTTATGAAATCCTGACCTGACCTTCAACACTTTCCCACCAGCCCTTTAGTATAGGCAATGTTATTTTGCCACACCTCCTAATTATTCTGTTTGCTTCACAATTTTGGGAAACTTGGTGTCTAGAACTGAAATTGATCAGCCTAGGTGAGATTTTTGTCAAGAGCTTGCTTGTTATTTTGTGCTGAGGAAATCACCAGATTGTCATTATACAGTGGTACCTCAGGTTACATATGCTTCAGGTTACAGACTCCTCTAACCCAGAAATAGTGCTTCAGGTTAAGAACTTTGCTTCAGAATGAGAACAGAAATCGTGCTCCGGTGGTGCGGCAGCAGCAGGAGGCCCCATTAGATAAAGTGGTGCTTCAGGTTAAGAACGGACCTCTGGAACGAATTAAGTACTTAACCCAAGGTACCACTGTATTTGTGTTATGTGTACTATTAGAATGCAGAAGTCTTAGGGTAATCTAAGAAACAAGCTGAAATTGTATTACAACATGTGAATAAAACTTGGGGTCCTTTTATGGGAGACCATCTGGATGATACATATGTACCCCTGTCTCTTTCAGATGTGTTGGGCATTTGAAAAATGTTTGTAGCAGGTCTTCCAATAAACTTTTAATTTGGGAGCAAAGCATAACAGCACACCATAAAATCAGTAAAATCACAGGTTGTGTACAAGTGAGAAAGATGATGTTTAAGAACAGAGAATTGTATTTTTTGTCTCATTGCACCTCAGGAATGTTGCTTATTTGAATTTTCACCTGTCCAGGAAGGCCAACTTTATTATAGAAGTAGATGCCATGAAGAATGAAGCGGTGGAGGGGGGGCACTGTTGTTGCCATAAGTTCCCTTCTAATATCTACAAGCCTTGGGTTATTTGGAAGACAGGTGGTGCTGTGGTCTAAACCACTAAGCCTCTTGGGCTTGCCGATCAGAAGGTTGGCGGTATGAATCCCCATAATGGGGTGAGCTCCCGTTGCTCTGTCCTAGCTTTTGCCAACCTAGCAGTTCAAAAGCACACCACTGCAAGTAGATAAATAGGTACTGCTGTAGCAGTAAACAGCATTTCCAAGCACTCTGGCTTCTGTTCTGTTGCACCAGAAGCAGTTTAGTTATGCTGGCCACATTACCTGGAAAGCTGTCTGTGGACAAACGCTGGCTCCCTTGGCCTGAAGCAAGATGAGCGCCACACGCCTTTGACTGGACTTAACCGTCCAAGGTCATTTATCTATTTGGAAGACTAGCAATCCTTAACTAGCAATCTGTATTGTAATGTCTATTCACTTAACTGATATGCTTGGACTGTACTCTGAATAACCATGGAACCCATAACAGTAGGGATTCAAGGTTGCAGAGAGTAAAGAAACTAACCAAATGTTTATGTGTAGGTTATTGTAACAGCTATGAAAACAAAGCCTGCCCTTTTTGTGTGAACGGAAATAACTATTCCTGGTTCACGAGTCATGTGTGTCAGCATGGCGCAGCAGAAGAAAGGACCACGGAGGAGCAAAGCATCTGCAAGCTCCCTCTCTGGAAGCCCACTCATTTGTGCTAAGCTAAGTGTGACGTGTGGAAGAGGTGAATGCATTTCAGAAAAGGACTCTGTGTATCCAAGGGAGTATTTCTTGCATTATTTCCCCCTGATTTTTATTACGATGTGTGCATGAGGTCTTGCTTTGGATCTCATTGGGAAGTAAGATTGGTCTGTGTATGGGGTAGGTATGGAACAGGGTTTCCCCAGACTTGGATTTCCAGCAGTTTTGGACTACAACACCCATCATGCCTAGCTAGCAGGACCAGTGGTCATGGATGGTAGGAACTGTAGTATAAAAACAGCTGGAGACCCAATTTTGGGTTGTTGTTGGAAACCTTGGGGGGTGACTTCACCTTGGGGGGTGAAGTCAAACTGCTGGAACATTGCAGCACCTGCTGTGGCTGTAGAGACTGATATGGGAGAGACAAATTTTGTTGCAGCTGGGGTTTCTTTGTAAATAGTGTTTTATACTTTTATTATTACATTGGTTTGGCACTGGTATACATTATGATTTTTTTACTTTTTTGCATATATATTCAAACTTGTTTTTTCACAACTGGTGCTTTTATTTTCCCCTCCTCCCCATTAGTGTTTACTTTTCTCTAGAGCCAGTGACCATCTCATTGGGTTGTTCATGAAGGGGAGGTTTATTCACTTTGGGTTCCCTCCCCTAAATATTCATTTCCACTGCTGCAAACCTTACAGTTCCCTCAAGCTGGTACCCAAATAGCTAAAACGGAAACAATCATTCAACGTTCTTGAAGCATTTTTAGGAAGCTCATTTTTACAGTGAACTGACCTTTCTACAACATAAAAACATTGCCTTTCATCCAAAATGTCTTAAGGCTGCAGAGTGTGCACGGAGCTTCTCCCAAGGAGGGGCTGCCCCAATTACGGTGTTGGAATGTGTGCAGTGCATGCATGGCATGTAACTGAATCCTTGGCCTGTACAGAGCTGGATGGGCACATTAGTCTGGGGGTCGGGTTTATTTGATTTTGTTGTCTCCGATGACAAAAAGAGAGAGAAAAGATAGTGAAAAGGAAGACGAGTACTTGCCGAAGTAACAAAAATTGTGGTGTTTTTTATTTTTTGTAAATTGCCTTAGAATTTGAGGCAAGGACATTTTAGTCAAAAAATATTTTGAGTCAGGAATGCAGAAATCAAACATTGTCTGGGTTTCCAGTTGAATGTTGCTTTTAGGCTACCCACAGGCAGCTTCTTGGCCATTGTGAGAACAGGATGCTGGGCTAGATGGACCATTGGCCTGATCCATGAGACACAGTGACATGGTAACATCCAAAGGAATAACTTTCATAAATACATTAAAAAAAACTGGTGCAGTGAAAGAGCCCCCCCCCCCCACTGGTGTAAACAGTGGGGATACAAAACTGCCTTAGTTTAACCACCAGGGACCAATTAACTCTTTCTGGAGTCCTTGGGAGTAATTGGTTCTGGCATGTACCAGCTTGCTGCTTGTGGCCCAGTACTGTGGATTATGTTGGTTATTCTATGATGGTCAACCTTTTCAGGCCCAGGACCCACCTTTAGCCCATTTGTGTACCCTCTCTAATTTTTTTAACTTAAATGGTGCTGGTATTTTGACTTGCCTTAGGTCTGGCTGTGACCCAGTAATAGATCCCCATCCACCAGTTGAAGATCTATGGCAGGCATGGCCAAACTTGGCCCTCCAGATGTTTGGGACTAAAATTCCCATCATCCCTGACCACTGGTCCTGTTAGCTAGGGATGATGGGAGTTGTAGTCCCAAAACATCTGGAGGGCCACGTTTGGCCATGCCTGGTCTATAGGAAGTTGGTAAGTCTTTCCTTTGGTCCAAGTGTTGAACTAAATCTTTTGCACCTTCCAATGCAGATGATTTTAATGTTGTGAGCCCCCCCCCAAATGTAATGTTGATATGATGGTGTTCAAAATTAGCTTCTACACTGAATGCTGTTAAAAAAGAACTCTCAGAACTGTTCAGTAGTAACAATATCAATAGCATCCAGGTGAAACTGCCGCTTGTTCATGGACAGCAGTGGGATTGCATCAGCTAGCCAGCTCTAGGGAAATGGGCAGATAATTTGTAACTTATGCCAAACAGAGATGGAATTGATTAAAGATTGGGCCTACTTTAACTAAGCACAGTTCATTGGCTTTGTGTTACTCTTTCCATGGACACCCTGTGTTATAAAAAGGAGATGCAAACATATGCATAACATCTGTCAAATAAAAATCTTTTCTTTCTCTTCACAGAGCGACCGTCTTCTCATTAAGGGAGGGAGGATAGTCAATGATGATCAGTCATTCTATGCTGACATTTACATGGAGGATGGTCTTATAAAGTAGGTATACAGTTCCCACAGCCCACTCTTTGTTTTCCTAGTGGTCAGAATATATCTATCTCTTGAAGAGAGGAACGGGATTTCAAAAATTGTTATGTGCAAGTTTATATTGCATGTATACTGTCTTGTTATTCATGTCAAATAGTCTGTGATTAAGTCATTTACAGCACATGGCTTTCTATATCAGTGCATTTAAACTGTCATAGTATTTGGAGACCCTTTGCTAAAGAGAAGAGATGACAAATGTAATTTATGTTTGGTTTCTGGCTTGCCTACTGCATCATAAAAATGACTGTTACATTTATTGCAGTTAAAGATGGTAAAGATTTTCTTAAAAGAAGCTGTGTCTTTAAGATTCTGAGAGGTTTTAGGCAAAAGTTGTTATGGTTTCTGTTTTATCTGGCTTCTGGTTATGTTTATGAAGTCAAAGTAATGACTCCAGTGGTTAAAGGCTGAAATTGTTCTAGTGTGTAAATACATGCAATTAGGATTAAATCCCAGTGCAGTGAGGTTTGAGTTGTGGGATATTTTATAGCCAAGGATCTCAAATGTTCTTTGCCATTAAAGTATAAAAGCAAATATCCAGATTCTTCTGCAGGAAATATTTTTAAAAGCAGCAACAGGGGGAATCAAATAATATTTAAGAGGAGGAAATTGTCCAAGTGTTCAAACCCTGAGGGAAAAAGGCAATTTATTAACTGCTGGTTTGTTGCCAAAAAGAAATTTGGAAAGAGTACCATCTGTAAAATATTTAAAACTCACAAATAATTTTTCAAATGTTGTGAGTTCATTGATACAGAGATGTGGGGTGTTTGTGTTTAAAGGTTTCTTTTTTTATACCCCAAAAATGTATCCCCAAAAGATGTATACAGGCAACGAGCATTTTATGCTTGTTCAGTATGTGTGTAGCTGCACACATGTGCATCATTGCAACCTGGAAGTGGCCGGAAAAGGGGGGTTGGAGATGTAACAGGGCTCTGCTGATGTGCACAGGTTAGGAACATAACCCCCGTGCAAAATGGCCATTCTCTGTCGTATCACAAGCTGCCAGATTTGATTTGAATAACTATTTGGTGTAATCAACATTTTGATGAATGCAAGAGTTGGAATTGCTTCAGTTAAAACTGAACCAGTGTTCTTTGTGTACACAAGGTTGTGTGGGCTTGTAGGCCCCCCCCCCCCGCTTTAAAAAAAGACATTCTGCAATTTGGGCACTTTGGCTTAGAGAAGTGAGTATTAGTGGTATAAAACTTACTCATATGTAAGCACAAAGAGCATGGAATTGTGCACGTATTCAGAAGGGCTAATAGAAGACATTTTGGAGCATATATTTATACTTGTATTCCACTTGTCTTTCCATTATGTATAACAGGATGCCCAAAGCAGATTAAAATCAACATAATTTTCAAAAAATATCAAAATTGAAAACAAAAAGCAAACAGCAGTTAAGAAGAAAGGAAATTACAAAAAGCTTCAGCTCAAAATTCAGACAAATTATAAGCTTGAATAAAATTGTCTTTACCTGGCATCTAAATGCCACCAGAGAGGAATCAGCCAGGTTCCCTGGGGCAAGGTCCTCCAGAGTCTTGGCACCACTAGAGGAGGTAATGTTAGAGGAGAGGTAGCTGTAGGGGGGTGGTCGCACTGTGCACGTAACTTTTGGGGCGCAGGAGCAAGCTCCACCACTATTGCTCCAAGGTAGAGTGGGAGGTGGGTGGCTAGATTTTGGCATTGCACAGGGTGCCACTGAAATTTGAGACACCGAGGTCCACCAGCGGTTAGAGGGGGTTTGGATGTGGTAGAGATGTCTTTGCTGGTGAGGATGAGGCCCCCACTGTGCCTGCTGAAAGCACAGTGGAGTGCATTCAACTGCCTAACGTGTTTCTACCAGCATTTACTGTTGTAAGACCCTGAAACAGAACACTGTACACAAGCTGGGATAGGGTTGGTGATGGATCTGCTGGATCCAAAGCAGGCCTGTTTCGTGGAGCTAGCAAAACAAAGTGCAAAATTACAGTCCTTCGGCTTCTACCCTGGCCAGCAGGGCTGTGGATGTGGCAGTGAATGCATTGGTTCACTACCACCCCAGCTGCAACGTGGATTGCTGTGTAAGTTCTTCAGGTCAGGGGAAGATGAGATTCAAGCAAGAAGATAGTATTTCTTGTACTGCTATAGCACAATGAACGTGCTGTTTAAAATTCTGCACAGAATGCACAAGGCTATGTCAGTGGATGTCCAAATACATAGCGAACTCATTGTCAACTCCCAGGGAAAGGTTTTTGTTTGTTTTATAGAACTTTTTGATGGTGGTGGAATTGCAAAACTCTGGCAAAACTTAAGAACAGTTCAGCAGCTGTGTCCATTATATTTGGGAGTTTTCATTTTTTGCAACAAGTAATTCTAACTTTTAGACCTTAAGGACTTGAGAATTGTTTTTGCATATGGAGACAGGGCTTTTAAAAATATTTTTTAAAAGCTTTCTTTTTACCTCCTATTTATTTACAACAAAATACAAGTTTGTTTATTTTTAACATCCAGACAAAATTCTCATGGAATTAATCGGTTGCAAATTGTACAATTGGTGCTTTAATTTTTGTGGTAGTAAATAGAGGTGGGAGCTTGATCTTTTTTCAGTTATTTTTTATGTTTATTTTGGAGCAACCTGATCTCATTATACCTTTTAATGGTGTGAATGAAGAGTGATTGCATCCAGTAAAGCTGATGTTGCAGTAAGTTCAGGACTGACAAAAGGAAATGCTTCTTCACACATTTAACTTTTGGAATTCACTGCCATAATATTTGCTTCAATGCTTCTTGCTTACAGCCACTGCAGTGCTGTAAGCTTGGATGAGGGAAACTGAGGTTTAGATCCCTGCTCAGCTGTGAAGCTTACTGGGTGAACCTGGGCACCTTTCATTCTGTTGGATGATTGTGGGCACCCTGAGCTCCTTGAAGATACAATATATAAATGCAACGAATTATCCTAATTCATGAAGGTTGGTCTGTGAACAGCTGTGGATAGCCATGCTAGCTGCCCTAAATGACTCCATGTTTAGAGGCAGTATGCTTCTCAATTTTGAATCCAGGGGATAAGCAGAGGTTGGCCATCACAAAAAGGAAATAAATCCCAACAATCTGAAGTCTTGATAAAAAGATTGGGTTCAAAAAATAGTTGCAAACTAATGTAAACACACGCAGAGAGAGAAACAGAGAGAGAGAAGGGCAGGATTCACCTAACAAGCCTCTTCAGCAGAAGCACAAGGACTCCTGCTTGCACAATGGGACTTCCCCCCCCTTCCCTGTGTACCCATCAAAATTGGCTCAAATCAGTCAGGAGATCCCCCAGAACAGCAGAAAGAGGAGAGGGGGGTTGTTCTATCTGGCAAGCTGAAATGCTTACACAGATGGAATAGAACAGTGTTGAATTCCACCAAATATAATTTAATGGAATCTAATGACAATTAAAAACAAACAATGCTATTTATAACCAAAGCAAAAGCATACAAATGCAAACATTGTATATTAGCAAAATAACTGAACAGATGTAGCTCATAAGATATCACAGATCGCTGGAATGTCAAGAAACAAAACAAATAAAACTTGCAAACTATCCCAAGACTCAAAGATATTTTGATATTGGTCTTCCTCACTGGTCTTTACTATGTGTATGAAAACTGCTTGGTGGAAAAAGTAACTGTAACTCAACAAACACAAAGCCAAATGTACAAATTAAGAAAGTAACACCACCTGCTGATACAAAATATAATAATAAATATTATTATTTATTCAAAACAATGCATTTACAAACTCAGAAGCTGCCTTCCTAAATGGAGCCTTAAAAGAGCAGAAAACATATCAAGTTACAATAAACTATACAGTGAAGAAAAACAATATATTGTTAATATAAATTCCATCTTTCAAATGATACTTACAAATACAAATATCTTTTAAAAACTAATGTTAGAACTGCTTCATAAATGTCATAACTTTCTACATGAATATAATTTCCATGTAGGAAATTGATTGCATGTACCTCACGGTATGTGATACACACCATGTCTGTTTCTCCATCATGAGAAGCTTTAGCTTGTTCTGTGATATATACATATGATGAAACAAAAACATTTGCTAAGTGTGATAGGGTATATATAGGGTACATGAAATTTCCCACATGAAAATGATGTAAATTGTCCAATTACATACATCTAGCTTCCCTTTCCAACATTTTGGTCCATATGTCTTACAATGACACCGTATACCAAAAATATCATTAATATTGAAATTCACACACAGTGAAAATCCAATCCATAATCATAAAGACACTAGTCTTTTGATTACCAGAAAATATTTCACGGCTTTGTATAAGTCCAGCAGATGCCCATATTGTTGGTGCCTGAATCTCTGAAGCCTTGGGAGAAGTACATTCTTCTCTGAGAAGGGTGTTCATGGGTGAAATGACCCGTAGTCAAGCTGAAGCTTGGCTTGTAAACCTTGGGAATTGCTCCCCCTAGTTTTTAAAACAGGAGGCTACTATACTCCATACCAAATGGAGAATATTTTGCTTAATGTAACTAATCAAAATTAACTGTAAAAAGACAGACAAACCAGCAGTAACAGGCTTCTTTCTAGTTAGTAGGAGCAGAAATGCGGGACACTCACTGCAGCAGCCTGTCTGGAAATCTGGGTCTCTGCCAAACAGCTGCACAAGTGGCAGGCACAATTTGACATTTCAGGGGTACTGCTAAACTCATTCACTTGCTGCCCTTCCTTGTGGTATGACAAATGGAGGAAGGGCTGAGTATCCTCTTCTTGCCCACAAGTGCCAGTCACATAGTCTTCCTACCTCTTTGCAGCTGTTAGGTAGAGTCCTGGTTTTCCATTTTTGGGTTTCTATCAATGTGTGGTGGTTCTGGCATTAGTATAATAATATATTGAGTTCAGGTATTTGGCTTCTTAAATATGTACTCTTCTAATAGGCAGGTCAAATAAAGAAATGTTTGATGAAATTCACTCAAATCCTAACTCTTTTGCAAAAGGAGTATAAAAAACATATATTTGCTCCATTATTGTAATACTTTACTTTACAGCCTAAAGTAACTAAAATGTATAAGAGAAATCTGTACTAAATATGCTGGTTTGCTGATCAGTTATGGTGGATGAAAGAACTGTCTTATTGTGGAATAAATTGTATTCGACATTTGTCATTGTAAACGTGTTTATCAGACTGGTTTGTTATTATTTAATCAGGCAAATTGGAGACAACTTGATAGTCCCTGGCGGAGTGAAGACCATAGAAGCCAATGGAAGGATGGTTATCCCTGGAGGGATTGATGTCAACACTCATTTGCAGATGCCATACAAGGGGATGACAGCAGTGGATGACTTTTTCCAAGGGACAAAAGCAGCCTTGGCGGGTGGGACCACCATGATCAGTAAGTACAAGGGTGGAGGGGGGCTCTCTTTGTGACTTCCTCGACAGTTTGTGGGTCTTCTAAACATTACCTTCATTTTTTATTATTACAAAACTTGTTTCTCGTGCATAATATGGTGCTAGGTATAGATATAATGTTGGTTATATTTAAGATAGGGTGAACGTTTTACAAGTGGAAAGTACAGTTCATTGAGTGTCCTTCTACATGCTCCCATCAGTCCCAGCCAGAGTTGTGGTCCATTACCATCTACCACATCAGTCATCCTTGCTGTAGAACATATTGAGGGCTGCCTCAGAAGCTCAATAATTGCCATTATTGGTTCATAGTTGTTTATTTCTGTAGTATTTAAAATGTTTAAAAATGCTTGAAAACTGCTCTACTCATTGCAGCTCCATTGGTCATCAGATGTAATGGGTGATGCATATTTATTTTTGTTTTTCCTCCATGGAAATAATTTGGAGCTAGAAAGTGTGTAGTTATGGCAAATGAACTTCAGTAGACTCCAAAGCGAGATGAAGTTTGTGTTACAGCTTCCATGGAAAAATCAGACTTTCTGGAAAAACTTACTGAAGTGTAAGGATTTATGCAATAACCCAACTTAGCTTCATTATACTGTGAGATTTTTGTTGAAGGTCTTGTTTGCTAAAATATCAAGATTTAATCTTTTATTCAATGGCATTTCAGCAGTTTAACAAAGAATAAACGTCCACAAAATTGTGATTTAAAAATAATAATAGTAGAGCATGCCTCAGAAGACAAATCAATCTCCCAGCATGCCTAGGAAGTAAACTAAAATGGGAGAGCAATTCTTGCTTCTTGTTTTCAGAATGTTCTGGTTCATAGCTTGATGGTTCTGCAGGGTTTTTTTGGCTTATTGAGTCATAGGACAAGTTGCAAGTGTGACTGCAGTTGGTTGAAAATGTTTTACTTCCTGCTCCTTCATTTTTGTGTTGAAAGAACTGCAGTATCTGCCGCAGTGTCTGTTGCATGTAATGACTGCAGTAGAAATTGAGGATTACGTCAGGGGCAATAAAAAGGTAAATTAAGCTGCATGTTAGGAAGAAACTTTCTTCTTTTTTTAATGAGTCGTAGTGAGGGAAAGAGATGAGGCAACCTGCTGCTACTTCCCGCTCACTTCTTAGCAAAAGCCTGCTAAAAGCACCTGGTATAATGCCAGGAACTATTAATCCAAAGCACAGTGCCCTATTTTTTCATTCTTCCTTCTGGTAAGTGCACTCTAGACATATCTGAGAAATTACAAGCAGTAAGATGAGACATGCTCTCTTGGTTCACTTGCTTATACCCAAATTGTCAAACATGGTAGAGGTTCCTGCGTTGAGAATGCCTGGACAATGACTGCTCTTTATAGTTCTAAAATATTCCTATCTCTGAAGTATCTTCTCTGTTTCTTCTTTACCCTGATTCCTTGCTATTAACTTTGTTGCCTAAGTAGTCCTCTATATCCATTTACACTGTGCTCCATCACAAAAATAAATATTGAAATAATGCTGCATCTGTTCTTTTGGTGGTGAAAACGTTGCCCCAAACAGCATAGTGACTGAGACTTCGAAAAACTGTTTAGCTGGTTTCTGTGGTACATTGTGTCTTGTAGAATGCTGGGAAACAGCATATTTTTTGAAGGATCCATGAAGTTGGCTATTAGGAGTTCAGGAGTCTTTGGGCTACAGAAGACATACTGTATTTACTCGAGTCTAATGCACCATCAAATCTAATGCGCACCTCAGTTTTCGGAACCTTGAAAACTAAAAAAGGATTTGCTGGTGAATGTAAATGTGCTATCAAATCTAATGCCCACCTTAATTTTCGCAACGTAATTTGGCCAAAAAAGGGGGAACATTAGATCAGAGTAAATACGGTAATTGTTTCGCGGGAAATCTCCAGACAGAAGGGAAAAGCATAAGATCTTCATTCTTTACTACAACTTGCTGCCTTTGTTCACAGTTGATCATGTTGTTCCTGAGCCCGAGTCCAGCCTCATAGAAGCATATGAGAAGTGGCGAGAGTGGGGTGATGGGAAGGCTTGCTGTGACTACTCCCTGAATGTGGACATCACCCACTGGAATGACAGTGTCAAACAAGAAGTGCAAACACTCATCAAAGAAAAAGGTTCGTCAATGCCAGAGGCCAATCCATTGTCTTCCCACATTCTAATTGTATGTTAGAATATATAGTGCATGATTCTGTGCTGAGATTTGTTGAGCCCAACCACAGTTTTCTTACTATCTCCTTTGAGTGATATTAATTGTTCCCCAGTTGTATGATAAGTAACTCTTGATTCTACGTGATAATTATCTTAGTGTAGAAAATGGCTTACAAATCATAGTACTGATGTTATTTGGTATTGCAATACCAATACATCAACTGGTTCAATCTCTTTTTGCATGCTTTCTTCCAGGCTACTAAATCAGTGTGATCCTGAAAGTGTCCTCTCATATTTGTTAGATTTCTATAAGCAGCACTCCGAAAGGTGGCCACATGCCCAATAAATATTTTCCCTTTTCTTAAGCTTTTGACTACATTTAAGATTCAACAGAGCTTTAGCTAGATAACTTCAATGTTTCAGAGAATCAACTAACAGGACAATAAACAGAAAATTTCCCTTTGCTGCTGGCTCTTGCCAAAGATTCCCATTCCATTATGTGTGAGTAATTCCTCACATGACTAGTGGAGTACCGATTTAGAATGACGTGAAGTAGAGAATAAAATCTTATTTGCCAACTTTTCTTCTTGTATAATCTTTTGCTTTAGGTGTTAACTCTTTCATGGTTTACATGGCCTATAAGGATTTGTACCAGATGTCAAATACAGAGGTAAGAACTAAGCTGTTCAACTGTGCTGTATGCATTGCTTATCAGCCTTTTTAAAGGGTTAATACTGTGTTTTAATTTGTGATTTTGAGCCTTCTTGGTGGCCTCGTGTAGGACTAAATGCCAGGACAGAAATTATCTTGCTAGTAAAAATGTCCATCAATGATTTGTGACAACTACAATCTAATACAAATACTGCTCCTCCCCATTTTTTTTATGAGGGCTACACAGTGCCTCACAAGACATCTGATTAAGAGGCAACAACACATGTGAGTGCAGCTAGGATTTATATGCTTCAGCCAGTAGTCCTTTAGTGTGGACATCTAGTTCCTTCTCCTGAGCTCTCACTATTTTTCTTCCCTTATTCTTAAGTGGTAGTTCACTGAATTGGTAGCCCTTTCAAAGTCCAGTGCTAATAACAATAAATAAAGAAATAAAATCTCTGCTAATCAACATGCAGATGTTGAGCCACATGTTTTCTAATGTTGGCTTTCTTGCTAATTTCTCTTTTTCAGTTGTATGAGATATTTAGTTTCTTGGGAGATCTTGGCGCAGTAGCTCAAGTTCATGCTGAAAATGGAGATATCGTTGCACAGGTGATGTTGTTCTATCTTCTCTTTGACCAAAGCACATATTGTAAGCAGAAATAATGTATGTATACTAGTGTAAAACATGACATATTGTACAAATGTATTCTGAGAGAGCCAGGTGGGTCCTTAGATCCCAATCAAGTAGAGATTGTAAATGCCTGAATTAAGTTTCTGTCCTTCAACTGGAAATTCTAACCAGTTAAGTAGGATTATGTTGTCTGAATACTGTATAGTTTGTCTTCTGTCTTCTGATTAATCAGCAGAACTGGTAATGTACCAAAATTCTGAGACTTACAGTCATTGTGGGCAAGCATATTATCCAGATGTACCTGGGTTTTGCAGATATTTATCAGTGGCTTTAAATCTTGATTTCAGCACTATAGTTCTACTATAGTGTTTTGTTCCAAAAATTGTTTTGTAAATGCTAGCTTATGTAAAAGCTTGATAAGTTTTTTAAAAAACTATAATAAGCTGACAGCCAAGGCTATATAACATTTAACTACAGTCATTCCTGTATTAGGATAGGTTAACCACAGTAATCCAAGCTCTGGTAACCACACATTTAGACTTTGCTCTATGCAACATATTCAGATGACTGTAATGTACTCAGATTTACTCCTTAATAACAATTCTTAAATCTGTTTCTTAACTTCATTCTGTTTATATTCTTTAGGAGCAAGCTAGGATGCTGGAGATGGGAATAACTGGCCCAGAGGGCCATGTACTTAGTAGGCCAGAAGAGGTAAGGTGTCACTGATGAATCAACAAAACCCTTCGGACAGATTGTTGCTGCTGCACACTCAATTTTGCAGTAGATGGTTTAAGTTCCCAGTGCTAACATGAACCAGTGCAGTTCCAAAAGCAACCCACAAGTCCTGCCTGGGCGAACTGGGCATTCCGTAGCACATTCCTGCAGCTTTGCTTTTTATAGTCTTGAGAAACAAGACAGTGAAAATTAGGGTAATTAAAAGCACTCTCTAGCGGTGCATCTGCATTGTAAAATAATTGTCTAGAAATTTACCAGTATCTCATTTCTGCTTACAGCTAATATTAGCATCCAGGTTCTTTATTATTTGGCCTGTTAATCCACATTTTAGTTTAAGGCTGAATTTTATACTATCACTTGTGGTAATGAGGGTTGTTTTTTTGACAGAATAAACACCCTTCATACATTCCTAGCACTATAGTCAGGGCTGGCCATGGTAGTTTTGCAGCACTAAGAGCAAAGGAAATTACTATGTTTAAATAGGTATAACTTTATACCCATAGGGAGCAGGAATGGTAGGAGCATTACATTTGCACATAATACTTTCATTACTATAATTGTCCTAAAATAGGAAGGTCAGTGTACGTTAAATGCTAAGATGCTTCTACAGCTGGCTTTGGAATAAGGTATCTTCCATTCATCTTGGTAGGGTGTAACACATTTTCTCTGCTTACTATATTTTTGTGGTTGGTTTTGGGGATTTTTGAGAAAAAGGACAGGAATTCTGAAACTTATGTAAGTTGTTTGCCCAGGCAGCTGTCCCGAGTCTCTATAGTGCTGCTGCTGTTCTAAGGTTGCTGGACTTCATGGACAGTCTCTTTACTCCTGACTCAGAACTGTTTTGTGGGGAGGATGATGTGTTAACCACACATATGGTTTCCTTAGCACACATCCTGATGGCACATGTGGTATGGTTTTTGGACCACAAGCCTCAGTCATTACCGAATAGTTGCAGCCATGTGGAAAACACACCACTTTGGTTATCTGGAATGTTGCACAAAGCAGCCATTCAAAAATATATTATTTGGGATTCCTTTAAATTTCTAGGATAAAGCTACTCCATAATTCAGAGAAATCTGAACATGTCTGGGGTATAATTGAGATTCCGTGTGTTGTAGATTGGCGGGGAGCAAGTTGGCTGTCCTGGGGCTGCAATTCCCCATCACCCTGATGAAGATCTTAATTGCCTATTTCCTCTAGACTTAAAGCTGAGAAGCTACATATCTAAAGCATGCTTCCTTTAAGCATACAAGACTGCACCATACTACTGTACAAAGTTCCACATTGTTTTTGTATTTGGATGTTAATTTGTTTTTCAAATTTGTAAGCAAATACCTTGTTGAGCACAACACCAGTCTCCTTCCTTGGTGTTGTGGTCTCTCTCCAGGAAAGCAACAGTGCACATACACAGCAGCTGCAGCACTCTTCCGTCTTCCTCTAGCTGGCTGGTCAAGTGTGTAATAAAAGGCATGTCTGAATCACTTGCTATGAAGCTTCTTTTCATTTTCAGCAGAATTAGTTCATAAAGAATCACCTGCTATATAACAAAATGCTTAAATATTCTCAGGCTGGCTCATAACAGTGAAATAATACATTCAGAACATATATTGCAACAATATTTTGCAAAAAGTTCAGTTTTTATCCCTGTGGGCAGCAAGTGATTTTTGAAGGTTGCTCATAGCTGCCTTCACCTGTGGAACAGGGAATTGTGGTTTGGAAATATTTCAAACTTATCTTTGCTTGGAGGTTATTTATGTTTTGCATTTTCTGGTGTGTCTCATAAACATCCTTGTGCTGAATTTCCAGCATCCCAGCCGTATAGCAGTTAGGTCTCAAATAACATTAGATATTCAGATTCTAAAGGGGGGGGGTGTGTGCACGTAAGTATGTTACTCTTGGCAAGTCCCTTTACAATGCTGACAGATGGAATTTAAATCATTTCCTCAGCAATTGGCAAGACAGCCAATTGTATATTCTTAAGTAAGACAGCCCTAAGAATTGTATTCACATATTCTTGACACTTTGTTAGAGAAGAAATTGTTTCAGCATAGGCAGATGGTTGAGTAAACAACTTTTCAAACTTTGATTCCTTGGTTCCTTTACAAGCTTGCCTAAAGTCGAACCTCTACTTACCACTGCCTCTTCTTACTGTATATGGTTTGTTTCAGGACACTCTTTTATTTTTTTCCTTTCCTTTTTAAAATATCAGTATTTAAGCTGTTGGCAGCCAGAAGGTATTTTAGATTATGTCAGGCTGAACAGTGAATGATGTAATGCTCCAAAGATATCTTACTTGCTGAAGTGTTGAAAGTTATAACAGCAAGCAAGATATGAAAATTACAGGCTTCTGATGTCATGGGAGGCAGCAGGGACCAATAGGAAGGGAAAACAGTCATCATAATTGGGTTGGAACTGCATCCTAAACAAATAACCAGCAGAAAACCACCCTCTTTTCCAGTACAGCCATTGTTAAGTAATAAAATAGACTCAGGCTGCATGCCCTATTCAGTAAATAAGCTAAAGCTTTAGTTCAAAATCAATTTTAATCAGTGAGGGTTAAACTTGAGGACTGAGAGATAGGGAGATGAGGAGAAGAGAGAAATTGTTGTAATTGTGGATTGTACATATAATAATAATGAAATTGGCAAATTTTGGGTTTGTAGCTCACAGTTATATGGCTCAGGTAGTTTGATTGGCTCTGCAAGAGATGTATGCTGTTGCTTTAGAACAGCTGCTAATATATTCTCAATGTTAACTGTTAATAAAAATGATATACAATTTATCACCACTAACAAATTAGGGAACTCCATTTTTTCCTTTTTGCTGCTTCTTTGGAACCATTCGTAGCCTAAACAGTCTCTCTGTGAATTATTATATTCATTTCTATCCTGCCTTTCCTCCAAACTGGTACCCAGGGTGGCTTTTGGATAAAAATATAAAAACACAAGATAAATTATTCCTCCTCCTTTCCCCCTGTTAAGTAGCTGACTGCTGTATGGAGCATAGCTCTCTATCTAGCAAACACAGGTTTCATTTACTAAATGGGTTCAATAGGGAATACAGGGTTAATGCACAAGCTGAGCTTAGACATAATAGTCTCACATAGCAGGTTGTGTTAGCTTTCATCTTTCAAGGCCAAAACTGCTACTGTGCATGATTTGCAATGTTTTCTATTGCAAAATGCATGAACTACTGTGAACAAAGGAGTCTTTGGGGAGAGAGGACAGTTGTGCAAGAAACACCCATCACACATAAAATAGAAAGTTGATACTGTGTTGGGTAGAATTTGGAAAGGTTAGTGAGGGAAGCATTTTAGAATTTAATGCTTCTGCTTTGTTCAGGATTTGAGGATTATTCTTTTCTTGCTGTTCCAAACTTTCTTAAGGGAATAGAAAGGTCATGCTTTGAAGTGGAATATATTGTGTCATGCAAAGTTACTGAACTCCTTTGCTGTTTTCTTGAGCTCACAGTCCCTTCTCTGTTTCAGCTGGAGGCTGAAGCTGTCTTCCGCGCGATCACCATTGCCAGCCAGACCAACTGCCCCTTATATGTGACCAAAGTGATGAGCAAGAGTGCTGCTGACCTGATTTCACAGGCCAGAAAAAAAGGTGAGCAGCTGCATCTTTGTTACCTACCCATGTTACCTTACTTACAAGGTTTGCTAGAATGGCTGTAGCCTCAGAATGACTTTAAAAAAGGAAACCAGTATAAAAACAACTAGAATAAGGGTAATCATCTTGTGGACTACAACTCCCAGCAGCCCCAGCCAAAACGGGAGGGCCACATATTAAGCACTCTTGAACCAGAAAAACAAAAACCAATAGCACAGAAGCAGCCAATTAAAAGAATACAAAAACATAACTGAAATAGACCAAGGGCCACAAATCTTCCCCTAAAGAAGGTTTTCATGATCCTCCTGAAAAGCAGTAAGCATGGTGGGAAGTGAATTCACTTGGAAGAGGATCCTACCATCAAGGAGGCCTGCTTATTTTAGCCTGCTTACATCAGATGAGACTCTTTATCAGCTATTCCTTTAACACTGTCCTTCAAAGGGGTCAGTGCTTTGTTCCGTTCTTCAGATAATTCCTTTTTAAATTTATCCAAGATTCCCTTTGCCAGCTCAATGTCTTCCTTACATAGTCTGTGTTTTTTGGCACCATTGTGGGTCCGTCTTCAATGTCATCAGAACCCATCTATTGAGTCAGTTTATGATGTTAAAATGAATCTTCAGAGTCCGTTCTTTCACTCATTGTGATATATCCTTCTCAGGGTCAATGTTAAATCTAAATAGTTTCAGGATTTGGGGTACATTTAATCTGTTATTTCATCTGGTTAAGGAGGAGAGAGCTGCTCAGCCTGCCATCTTTATCAGTGATGTCACTTCTCCCCTTGGACTAGTTGACAGGATATTTGAACCTTGATTTCCCAAGTCCTAGTCTGACACTCCTTTAATGAACCCTGGGTTTAGAGCTTTAAAGGCAGTCTGATTTGTCCTTGTAAGACCGGAAGTCGATGTAGTTCTTTAAGCATAGGGGATATATGTGCTCTGCAGCAGATTCTAGTTATGGCTGCCATATTCTAGAGCTAGACTAACTGAGGATGGCACTAACTTTTATAAATGTGTACTTCTGCCAACAGAAGCAGCTGCAGGCCTAGCTCCCCCTCTCCCCTTCTGTAAAATGTATTGTCCTTGCCCTAAATCTCTGTTGTTATTTTCACCATCAGGTAATGTAGTGTTTGGCGAGCCAATTGCAGCCAGTCTTGGAACAGATGGAACACACTATTGGAGCAAAAACTGGGCAAAAGCTGCTGCATTTGTGACCTCCCCTCCTCTGAGTCCAGATCCAACAACCCCTGATTACATCAACTCCTTACTGGCCAGGTTGGTTATAGCGAGAAAGGGAAATACTCTCTCTTGCAACCAGTCCTATGGAAACTGAGTAATAAGATGATGCTTGGAGCTAACATAAACAGGAAAGTAATGAACTGCACCCACTCAACTGGGGACTTTCCAGATTCTATTTATATTGCCTTGTTCATTTGGAGGATTCTGAGGTGTTGCTATTGCAAGTGCGCATTTGCATCTGGAATAGCTCATAAGACAGCTTCAAACTGAGGACAGCGGTGATGCTGAAAAAGAAGGGATATTTACTAAAAAAGAATAGACCTATAGAAAAACAAAAGAAGTGGGTCATTTAGCACTGGGGGGTAGTTAGCTGAACTGCATGTTGGCACAGACCTGGATTAGTGAGCATCCAGAAACTAGAAATAAGGTTTTATATTTGGAAACAGTGAGGTATATTTCAGATTTTAAGTTTGGAAATAGTGAGGTACATCTCACATTTCAAATTGTATGCGTTGACTGGCAACTTGAAGAGAAGACAGAATAAACTAGGTGTGAGTTGTATTAAAACTGACCAACATGGAAAAAATATTTCATAACACATATGAAGTGGCCAAGTCCTGGAAAAAAGGAACCATGCCTGCTTTTCTTAAACTCCCTGCTCAATATTCTTTTGGATATAGTCTTTAGGAGAATCGCCTGCCTGTTAGTTAGCTAGTTTTTAGCAGAACAAATCTGACTGACACAAATCTCTCTGTGTAGTAAAGCAGACATATGGCACCAAATTATTAAGAGGAGATGGAGATTATCATTGGATTAGGACTTGTGTTCTGAAGCCCAGACTGAGGCCATGAGGCTCAGAGACTCTTTGAATCAGAAAATCAGACACAGGGTCCATCTGGAAGGCAAACAATCTCTATAGTTTCCTTTTTTAGTGTTTAGACAAGGCTTTAAGCCCCCCCTTTTTTTTCTTAATTACCGTGCATCCTTTCAGCTAAGTCCCCGGCAGCTAGCAGACGCCAGGAAGCAGGAAGTTTCCATGGAACTCTTTGCATAGTCTTTGGTATGATTGTTAGGCCATGACCATTGTTTGTTGCTGCCCTCTAGAGCCACAAGCAGATAAATACAATGGACGAAAGCAAATGACTTAGTGTCTTTAGACACCACATGAACTTTGAAACAAATTTAAGTTAATAGGTTATGCTAAAAGCTTGTTTCATACAGTGGTTGAAATACTTTGGATTATGTGGGTCAAGGTTTTGTTACATTGCAAGAAAGGGTAGAATAGAAGCAATGTAGCAATTCTGTCATAGACGAAATCTGGATGCCTTTCCAATAAAAGATTCTAGTTGTGGCTAAAGTAATAAAGTCTTTACCTTTACCAAGAAGTAGACAAACCAAGAAGCAGATGCTTTAGGCAGCCAACCAATTTTATTTCTCTCTCCTTCACATAACATTTTGACAGTCTGTCGTTGAAGATTTCACTGCTAGTGGGCAATCTCTTGTGACTCCAGTATCTAATTTTCACACTGAGAGCTGGTTCTAATCATATGCTGTTCTAAAAAAATTCCTGCTCACATACATTGTACACCCCTGAGCATTATAATGTGGAACCTGTGAACTCCTACAAGATCATGGCTCTCCTTCCATGAAAATGAAAAGCACTTTCTGGTTTCACAGGAACTGTGGATTCATCTTAACACTGTTCATGTGAATAGACTTGCATCAGCAGACGTTCTTTGCACAGTGTTGGCACTGATCTGTTGTCTGACTCAGTTGTCTGCAATCAAATCAATCTGGTGCTAGCTGCAATAATTTTCTTGCTTCATTTTTCAAGAGCAAATAAATCTTCAGCTGAAAAAGGTTCTTGAATAGGTTTAGGTTTACAATGATCAATAAACAGGACTGTCTCTGTCCTAGGCTTACAATCTAAAAGGCATGACACAAAAGGAAAACAGATGTGGGAGGAGGAGGGAAAAAGCAATATTGGGCATTGCTACTTAGTCACAAGGTTCTTTTATACATTACTTTTCTAGTTCACATTTATGCTAATTACAGTTCTGTGCCTTCATTTTTGTTGCTGTTGTTGTTACAGAGAGTGGAAACTTTCAGTAAACTACTTGGAGATAAAAGCATTCTTGTATGACTGGACTAAGGGCATGGTGGACTAAGGGCATGGCTAACCAATACATTTTGTTGCTTGTCTCTGAGCTAGTGGTGACCTCCAAGTCTCAGGAAGTGCACACTGTACATTCAGTACAGCGCAGAAAGCAATTGGAAAAGACAACTTCACAGCAATCCCAGAGGGGACCAATGGTATTGAGGAACGGATGTCTGTTATTTGGGACAAAGCAGTGGTAAGAGAAGAGGATGGGGAGGTGGGGATTGATATTACTTGTATTATTTATTCAGTGTATTAGTTGCTTGCCTCACAGAAGTCTTGAAGTGACATAAAAATTTAGGAGCATAACGTAAAATCATAATAAAGAACTATACATTACCATCAGAGCCGTACAGTAACTTATAAAACAGAACCAATAAAACAGCAGCAGAAAAATACCATAGACAGCTATGTCATAATCCATCAAATATATTGGCACCATGTGGACCTTAGTGTGAAAACATTCCAAAGCAGGTAGCCACAAATGAAAAGGCCCTGTCCCTCATCACCACCCTTCAAATCTCCTTCAGAGGGGGGACCTGGAGGAAGGCCTCAGATGACAGATCAAAGGGTCTCTGTTTAAAACAGCTGCATGGTTGTCAGCTTGTTTCTGAGCCCAATTCAGGGTGCTCACATTAATGTTTAAAGCCTTATATGACATATGCCCCAATTATCTGAGATTGCCTCTTTACTTACAGACCCTCTGGGTATTAAGATTGGCAGAGAGGACCCTCTTGGTAGTTCCACTACCTAGTGGTGGCCCAGGAGAGGGCATTCTCTGTGGCAGCTCCTAGGCTGTGAAATTCCTTCCCCACAAAGGTGCATCTGACACCTTCATTATATGGTTTCCAGTGTACTCTGACGATGCCGCTCTTTATCCTGGCATTTGATCTCTGAGATTTGTATTTTTGGGACCTGCTTTATTCCTGTGACTGTAACTTGTTTTACTTGCCTTATCTGTCTTTTATGATTCATACTCAACAGGCTACGGGGAAAATGGATGAGAATCAGTTTGTGGCTGTAACAAGCACCAATGCTGCCAAGATCTTCAACATGTACCCAAGAAAGGGCAGAATTGCTGTTGGATCAGACAGTGACCTTGTCATATGGGATCCCGATGCAGTGAAAATTGTATCTGCTAAAAGCCACCAATCAGTAAGTCTTTTGCTGGTCAGTAAGTCTTTTAACTTCACAAATTGACATGGTCAGTTTGTGAAGTTAAGCACAGGAATATAGGAACCTGAGCCCTGGACAGCTTTGTCTTCTCTTCATTCTGGATTGCTCTTTTCTGCTTCAGTCTGCTTTAGCCCACCCACATCCTCATAGAAATGAAGTAGCAAACAAAAATGAAATGTATTTCCTTATTTTTTAAAAATATGTTTAGGCTATAGGGCCAAAGCATTCATCTCTTAAGGGCAAAAAGTTTTGGTCCTCAATGCTTGTGTGTTTTCAGACCTTAGGAGGAATTCAGTGCAGTGCTAATATCATTTACTTAGCACAAGCATTTCAGCTTGCCAGACAGAATGATCCCCGACCTGCTGTTCTTGGGTTTCATAGAGTGTATCTTTCTTTTCTTTCTTTTCTTTCTTTTTTAAAATTTATATACTTCCCTATACCCATACGGCTCAGGGTGGTTCACGGGATAAAATCAGAATACGAAACCGCAAAATACATAATCACATCAACAAGAACTCAATCTCTCTCTCTCTCTCTCTCTCTCTCTCTCTCTCTCACACACACACACACACACACACACACATTTTAAAAGGAAATAGGGTGTCAGTCAACCCAGCTAAAAACAGTTAAAATAATTTTAAAAGATATATTTTTTTAAAAAAAACAATTTAAAAGCAATTTAAAATAAGAAGCAGTACTCTGCTGGGCAGCAGCCAGGTGGCTAGAGGCAGGGGTAGGCCCGCAGGGTAGAGGGTATCTGTAGACTTGGCACTGGTTTAGGTGGGCTGGTGGCTTGATGCATAATGAGTCTGACTCCAGTGTGTTGTAGGCAGCGGAATACAACATCTTTGAAGGAATGGAGCTACGTGGAGCCCCCTTGGTTGTCATATGCCAGGGGAAGATAATGATGGAAGATGGCAACCTTCATGTGACACAGGGGACAGGACGCTTCATTCCTGGCACCCCTTTCTCAGACTATGTCTACAAGCGCATCAAAGCAAGGAGGAAGGTAAGATAGAGAAGCCCAATATGTAAGGTTTTAATGATGGTGTCTCTTCATACTGCTTTATGGCAAAGGAACTGTGCACCACAGCTCTTTCCCATGCTGTGAAGATACTACCAGAAGCCCTGAGTCACATGGGAGTAGCCAGCATTGTCCTAGTTTCTAGAAGGTATCATGCTTATGTTGGGTACAGCTGTCATGCAGTCTCCTCTCTTACAGCCATGAACTTCAGACATTATCTTTGTCATAGAAGCAGCCATAGAGTAGTAGCTTCTACAATTGAGAAGGGACCCTTTCTGTGTATCACTAATGAGAAATGCATGGCTACAGTTTCTTCCTCAGAGAGCTTCTCCTTATTTCCTTATCCAGGTTGCCTTGCTTGGTAGCATGTTTTCACTGTGTTTACGAGACCAAAATCTGTAGTAAACCATCATATCACTCCCACCCTTCTGCTAATTGTGGATGGGTGAGACGATGATGGAGAAGTCTGTGAAGGCCTCTGCACTGACAGTTGAGCAGACAGTTGAGGGAAGCCAGGCCTAATACAGGGGTTTTCAACCTTTATTGGTCCACGGCTCCCTTGACCAAATACATTCTTTGTGCGGCATCCCTGTGGGGCTCAGAAGCCCAGTTATGTCACCCCTTGTCTGCAGAGCTGGCAGCCTCTCATCCTTTTTTGAACACCCTTCCTTGTGGAATGTTCTCTCAGTCTCTTCTCCTCTCCCCTCACCTTGGGAGTCCTCTGGGCAGCCGCTGCTGCCGCCCCTGGTTTCTGAGCTGCACCTCCTGCCCCAAAGAGAGGTGGCTTCTCACATTGCCCCACAGGGACCTGGGAAGCACCCCGTGACCAGCCCAAGAGGCACCGTTCGCCTGGGGAGCTTGTAGCCAGAGCTGCTGCAACAAACAACTATGCAAGCTTTTGAGAGGCAGTGACACAAGAGGGCATCAGAGGAGGGAGGGAAGGAAGGAAAGAGGGACAGAGGCCAGTGTTGCACCCCTGACCATCATTCAAGGCACCCCAGGGTGCCATGGCACACTGGTTGAAAACCACTGGCCTAATACATTTCTTTTTTCTCTTACCTGTGACAGATGGCTGAGATGCATGCTGTGCCAAGGGGCATGTATGATGGGCCTGTGTTTGACTTGACCACCACACCTAAAGGGGGCACTCCTGCAGGCTCTACTCGGGGATCACCTACCAGGCAGACACCCCCAGTAAGGAATCTCCACCAGTCTGGATTTAGCTTATCGGGTAAGCTATCGGGTAAGCTATCTGTTAAGCTGATTGGGTGAGAAGATGGTACATTGATTGCAACACCTCTAGGCAGAAGGCAAGGGAAAAGGTGCCACTGGTAATTAGTACAGCTTCTCTAGCTGCAATAAAATCAAATTCACCCAGCTGGCAGGTTTGAGATTTGTTTCATTCTATTAGGCGGAGAAGGGAAGGGGACGTCTTTTCATTCCATATGCTTATTGTAACTTTTGTCAGCATTTATGTGTTAAGACCACTAGTGGATTTCACACACTAGATTTGTAGCCACCTATTCGGATTATCAGGGATCTCAAATAGTAGGAAAGTTAAGCCACACCAGGTGCCACTCTTTGCTGTGGAATGGTTGACTGTCACCTACTTTTTATATGATTTACCGCCACTTCTCCCTTTATGGTGAGCATAGATATTTCCAGAGTTAGCTAGCTAGCGGTACCTGTGCCAAAACAATTGCGTTCTAAGATTTTATGGTTGACAAGAAAATCATAACAGGTCTTTCGCTGTATTACTTTTTCTTAGCCCTGTGAAGAAAAGCACCTAACTTCCTTTCCCTGCTTTTCCCCCTCTTTCATCTTGTGTATGCCCTGCAGGTACCCAAATTGATGAAGGTGTTCGCGCAGCAAGCAAGCGCATTGTAGCACCTCCAGGAGGCCGCTCCAATATAACATCTCTGAGTTAAGCACCCAGTACTCAGGGAGGGGAGAAGGGGGGGAAGGGAAGGGGGAAACTGTTATTTGAGAAAACTAAGCAATGGTACCTTGATATTTAAGAAGGAAAGAGCAACCTGAAGAAGCGTTCAGATTTTGAAGAATCAATAAGCCTCAAGCCTTATGTTTCATAAATGCTACTCGCTACCTAGCTTTAAAAAATATTGCGGGTTTTCTTTTCTGTTTATTCATAGCCTTAATATCCCCCCATTTTTTTTTACATGCATGCAAATCTGACAGGTGACTAAGTTAAGAGTATGTAATTGTACATGGTGAGTGCTTGTGTGATAACACATTGTAAGAAGGGGATTGGATTAAAGATGGGAAACTAATGACATGAGCTGTTTATTTAGCCAGTTTACTTGGGCAGAATCAACCAAGGAGTTTTAGTGTTGGGGAAGGGTGGGGGCAGAAGGTGGTGGGGCAGGGTAGTGGGAGGTGGACGGGGGGCAGACCAAGTAGATCTGTGTATTGTGTCCATGTTCTTCTGTTTCCACTAAATTCAGACAAGACATAGTTGCCTCAGAGCACTACATGGGGCCATTGGAAAATTCAGCCATCTTTGTAATGGCTCTGTTGTATCACCTTCCTGTTAGAGATTTTATTACTTTGTACATTTTATTGAATAAAAAATGGAAAGGCATGGTTTTTTCCCCCCTCCTTGGCTTGTCGAGGCAAAGTAACAGTTTCTTCCTCCCTCACAATTAATTTCAAGTTCTTGGGGTGGGGGTAGGGGAAAGGATATCACCCCCTATGCTCAGTTTGTACAGGACTGAACTTCTTGCCAAATCCTCTTTCTTTCATATCGCACAAACTGGTTAGTGAACTGGAAGTTGTAGCATCTCTTCTCATGAGGGCTGTGACTGATTTCCATTCTGCTCTGTAATCATTAAGGGCTTTTTGAATCTCTGTGGCTCTGTTGATTGATTGGATTTATATACTGCCCTTCATCTGTAGATCTCAGAGTGGTTCACAGCATAAAAATACAAGATAAAAACACAAAATACATAATAAAAGCAAAACAAACCAATAACCCCCAACCCCCTCTCACAAACACATTTAAAAGGATTTAGGATGTTAGTCAGCCAAAGGCCTGGTTGAAGTGGAATGTTTTCTCCTGGCACCCAAAGGTGTATAATGAAGGCGCCAGCGAAACCTCCCTGGGGAGAGCCACCACAGAAGAGGCCCGTTGCCACCCTCCAGGTTGGTGTTAGTGGCATGCCTGCATGACCACTTTGAAGATAGGCGAAGCTCTTCTCAGTGTTCCCCACATTCTGCATGTCCCACTCTTCAGTGCCGTTCAGTACCATGGGTTGACAACAGGGATCTGCATGGGCTCTGCATTCTACACACTGGTACAGTGGTACCTCGGGTTACATACGCTTCAGGTTACAGACTCCGCTAACCCAGAAATATTGCTTCAGGTTAAGAACTTTGCTTCAGGATGAGAACAGAAATTGTGCTCCAGTGATGCGGCGGCAGCAGGAGGCCCCATTAGCTAAAGTGGTGCTTCAGGTTAAGAACAGTTTCAGGTTAAGTATGGACCTCCGGAACGAATTAGGTACTTAACCCAAGGTACCACTGTAGTTGCCCATGAAAAAGTGCATTTATAAAGCATCTACTTAATTTGCTTTCAGTTCAGTACACAAGCACCAAACAGGCCATAGAATACTGCTGATTTTATCCATATTTACACCAAAATACCTTTTGACAATATCACTTTCTCTATTAAAAAGTGCCTTGTCAAACATTAATATGTGTCTGGTAGATTTCAGTCAGGTATGAACAAACAGCATCTTTGTCAGAGAAGTGGCCTCAAGCTTCCTTCAGTGTCAGCTGCAATAATCATGAACATTAAGTTATGTCGGATCAAACCAGCTGAGACCCTGTCTTTCCACAACAGTTGATAATATAGCCTGCGCAAGAAACAAGAAATGTGCTTGTAAATGAAAGGACACCAAACACAATAGGTTTACCTGTCAGCTTTTGGACTGCCCTTACCTGGCAGATTAGAAAATGACAAGGAGCAGTTTTGTGATTTAAACAGATAAACTTCACACAAAGTTAGCTGGTAGGCTTAAAATGTGGAAGCTGCCTTGTTTTAGGAGAACTGAACACACTTGGTGAAATTCACCTTGCCCTATTAACATTTAGTCCATCGGCACAAGCATCTCAGCTTGCCAGATAGAATAATCTGCCCTATCCTTCCTCCTTGCAGTTCCACAAATGAACTATGATGCTAAAAACGTCCTTTGCAAAGAGCAAGACAATAATGTGGGTTTTGAGTCTCTTAGTCATGGCCTTGTTCCACATGATTTAAATGGATAATTTTGTTGCCTGACATTGGGCATGGTGAAGATGGAACATAAGAGTATTTTTAAGGTAAAGCACTGTAGCTAGTATAACAACATTGGAAGAGGCCTCTCTCATCTATGTGCCCAGTCTGCTTGGTTTGCTTCTCTGGTTCCTGGAGGAAATGCATGAGCATTACTGTATCCTGCTGTCTTATCTCCAGTCTTTGCCAGGTTCATGCTTAAGAATATCCTTCGCAGCAGGCTGCATGTTCAAATAACATCCTACTTAATAGCTGTTAAATTAATATAAGCTAGAAAAAACTTTCCTAACCAAAGGTATAATATGGGCCCTTTGTAAATATGCCAAATGAGGTAAACTTGACTTCTCACATTACCTAAGGTGCACAAGTATGTATATGCTGTCAGTCACATCCCTATTTTGCCATATCTTTGGTATACTGGAGTAACCTTTCCTTCTATACCTCTGAATATAATAAAGAATCTCAGTCACTTTCCATTTTTTCTTGGTTGGCAAGCTGACTTCACCAGTGACATCTGTGGTCTGCTAGCACATACTTTGCCTGCAAAACATCCCATTCTATCCCTGGTATCTCCAGGTAGGACTAGAAAAGGTCTATCCAGAACAGGGGAGCTACTGTCAACGTGGAGACAATATTGAGCCAGATGGACCAGTACTCTCAATAAAAGACAGCTTACAGTGTTCCTACAATAGTTGCATTATTCCCAAGTTGCCACAAGATGGGGCCAAACTACAAATAAGGGAACACATACTGTTGAGCTGTAGTTTGTGTAAGAGAGTATGGAAGACAAAGCTGCACACTTGCTTGTTCTCAGAAATTGGATTGTGTGTTTTAAGAGGAAGAAATGTGATGAGAGATGGGAGTCAGTTGTTTCTGCAACACAGACGAGAGCACACTCCTTTCTGTGTCTACAATGGACTTTTCACAAGTGGAAAACTACATACTGGCAGCCACTTCATGCTCATACAATGTAGGTTTTGTACACATTTTGATTCTGCAGGCTGCTTTTTTATATTTCTTATTTAATATTTTCTAAATTGAACTTGAAAATATCCAAGCACCTGTCTTGCAATTGGCAAATCTTACTAGCTTTAATGGGAGAGGGGTAAATATATGCATTCTCACAGATTGGCATTAATATGCTTTAGAAGTGCTTCTAAATGTGATTCATGGAAGACTTGTGAAATGACTGCTTCATTTGTGGCATCCCCCTAACATCAAACCATCAGCATCACAGAGCATACCTTACTTACCGCAGTAAGTTACCTGTTCAAATGAGAATAATTCCACTTCTGGCCACATTCTGCTGTGCTCAGTGGATGATAGCACAGACCTAATACACATCAGATGTGAATTGAACCTTCTGTAATTCACAAGAATAGATTCAGCTGATGAAAATTTCAGAAAATCAATGAGTTAGTCAAGGATGGCCATTCTTGCGCTTGTGACAAGTCAGCCTGAGAGCAGGTGATCTATATGCAGGAGTGGATCTGTCCAGAAACTGACAAACAGCTTCTAATTCTTGTTAACAAAAGTTTTAACACAACATGGATATCTTGATTGCTGTTTGCAATTGTCAGTTAACAAACTTGATGACTTTTTAACATAACAGATTGGTTGAGACTTTTTCCTGCCTTTGCGATTTGAGGTAAGTTTTTGCAATCTGGGATAAAAAAAGGGATGTCATCAAGCTTTGAAAAATACATAAAACAGTTATTAACTGGAGCTCCGGCCAGCAGTGAAAATCAATCAGATGTGTGATCTCCCTAACACATCAATTTCACCTTAAGTACTTGGAATTGGAAGGTTAGGAACATTCTGTTCCTTTCTGAGAGTTGTTTTACAACTGCGTAAAAGAATAGAAAAAATCCGAAAGATCATATTTGTGAGAATTTTATCTAAGCTTCAAATAAAATGAAAAATGGCCAGAAAAAAGGGGGGGATGAAAGAGAGCTCAGATTCCCACAGAAGCTCCCCCACAGAGTCTCTCTACTGCGATGATACTTGAGCTTTCACATACAACCAGACACCTGTTGAGTATATTACAAATGTTGGGGACAGTCTAGCAGGATGTTCTTTGCAAACTGCAGTGAAAAGATATGGGGCTGTTCAAGAGCATGGATTGTATATGTAGTTAGTTTAGAAAGGTGCCAGGCAAACAATCTAGGGCCTTTTAGTCAGGGTTATTGTTTTCATTTGTTACTATGTTCTGTATTTTTATATGGTAAACTGCATTGTGATTGTCACATGAAGGGTGGTATAGAGATTTTATAAATAAAAATAAGTAAACTATAATGTGGCAATTACAATGTGAATTGACTTCATTTTAAAAATGAAGTTCTATTGCCAAAAGTTCCAACTCAGTTTATTGAGCAACATTTAATTCCGCCACCGTCCAAGGTGCTGTGTAGAACATAGGACAGGGACCCTGCTGTCTGATCACAACCCTCATTAAATTAAGAAGATAGCAAGCAGGAGTTGGCCATGGAAGGGAATGCAGGAGAGGAGAATGACTAGTGCTAACATGGTTTGGCAAAGAGCTGGGTCTCACCTTTATAATACAACTAAGCAGGTTTGCTGCTATTCACATTCTGGCTTGCCTTACAGGAAGATCCATGGCTATATGACACCCCCTCTTGGTCACACCTTATCCCCTTAGCTACCTCATCAAAACAGACTCCGCAAACCTCCAAATTTATTGAATGGGACAAGTCTCTCTTACCTATCCAACAGACTTTTTAAACATGAACATTTAATAAATTAACACAAGTTGGTTTTTTTATATAAAATGCAAGGGTAAAAAAGAGTCAATGCAGTGTTAAGAGTCTTATAGAAAGTTTAATAGACCATGTTTATAAAATGGAAGAGAAGAAAAGTGCCAGAAATACCACTTGTGTATTTTCATTAAACCTGACATAATTACTAACCTGTTAACATTGATAATGAGCAAGCTGTCTTCGCAGCCCATTTCTATGCAAGACAAAAGGATGAAGCCTAAAACCCAATTGCTTACAATTGTTAGATATGTGACTATAACCAGATTTAATGCCTCCTATTCATCGCTGTGCAGAAAGCTATCCAGGGCAGACAGTGCATAGGCAGCCATTTTACTGTGACATGTTGAACAACTGTTTACCAGTTAAACTTTTCATGGGAAGGTTATTGCTTGAAAGTGACAAGAGATCAAAACTGCACCGAGCAAGGGTAGCCTACACAGTGCTCTTCAGATATTGCTGGACGCAAACTCCCATAATCTCTGACCATTGGTCATGCTGGCTGAGGCTGGTCAAACAACATTTGAAGGGCACCATGTTGGCTACCTCTGGAATGCAAAAAAAAACAATTATTGCTGCTGCTTGGCCCTAAAGTGGTAGTTCTGAAATAGCCAGCAGCTCATGTCCTCTTCAATCCAAAGTGTTGTCTTTTAGCGTTTTAAAATAGTGCAATACCTCACAAGTTGTGGCATACTCTGGG